ACATAGTGAACGAATAAAGAAGTTGCTATCTATTATTCAACTCTGCGTTCATTACAGTACACGATCCACACTAGTGTCGTGTGTGAGGTTAGGGACATTCAGTGTTTGAAATAATTTTAAAACCCAACAAGACAGTCGGACAGGTGATCCATATGTGTTGCCTGCCCATCTTCAAAGTTACCTGCCCGCATTCAGGCATTTTAAATGTTGAAAAATTGCAAAAACTAAGAGACAAATCAAATCTTGATTCATTTGAAATAATGCAAACAATTACTCGAAAATCTACAAGGAATAAAAGTAAAACTGAATACATAATTAATCTTTAAATTATCTGCAAGACAGTCAGGCAGGTGGAGCAAAATGTCATGCAGCCCGACAGAAAAGTTACCAGCACGCGCAAGCGGACAGGCAGTTAGTTCAGACACTGGTGACATTTCTGCAAGATGGCTTAAAACATGTTATCCAAGTAACTTGTCGAAAATATGACTTATTCATTAAGAATATAAATGTCCATTAATGATACCAGTAAGTAAGTGATGGTTTGTTTGTTATTTAAATAAAAGTTAAGTATTACCACAGTAAGACAAATTATTTTGAGATATTTAACTTTGGGACATCATTACTTATTATGGCGGCCCGACAGACGTGCGACGAACATACGCACCACGTATGCATAAAGTGAATACACGTGTATACCACTGAAGTACCCATTCGCTTATTTCCATTGAAATAATTGCGATGCGTTAATGAGATTTCCGACACAGCACGATAGATATGTAATGCATAAACACACACAATCGGAATAATAGTGAGTGGGTGAGTATGGTTTTACGCCACTTTTAGCAATATTCCAGCAATATCACGGCGGGGGACACCAGAAATGGGCTTCACACATTGTACCCATGTCGGGAATCGAACCCGGGTCTTCTGCGTGACGAGCGAACGCTTTAACCACTAGGCTACCCGACCTCCCCCAATCGGAATAATAATTGTGCATATGTAATCATACGACCCTTGTCATTTGATCAGGGTTCAGCAGTTATAAAGGTCTTAGTGAAACTTTCAGAAATTACTCTGTAGACATCAGGAGGGCATTTCCAAATTTGACTCACCAGTTACCAAAATGATTTTCAATTTTGACTTTGCCGTATGTCAATGTGTTTGTTCAACTGAGCCTTGACTTACCTTTGCATGTGTTTGTGTCGGGTACCACCGGTGGGGCCGGATATGCTCACCTTTTCGCGAACACCTAGTACTATTTGACAGTAATTCATAAACACATGCTTGTGATATAGAATGAATGATATACGAATAGTACAATGGACTCTGCTTTTCAGCAGATATTTCTAATAATTATGGAAATGTTTTTGTCGCTTTTATATAAAACTCATAATTGAATCAGTTATTTTGTTCATGATTCAAGTTTAACAGTGTTTAGTTGGACATCTTATGGCTCCTACTTGGCTTTGAAATAAATTCATATTATACAAATTCAAAATGTCCTATTCATATTCGGTCTTTATTTGCAGCTCAGCACTCGAGGTGTCTATAAATGTGGTTATTTTCATTTCTGGTTAACGATATACAGCAACTATAAGGGTAAAAGACGTATTAATGTATCGCTTTCCTTTTAACCCCAAAGACGTCTTCAAGGGACCCAGGTATTCTGGACAATGTGTTTGTTGTTACACATGATCACAGATGTCTGTTACCCTTAATCAGCTCTTTGCACTGTGCACATGTTACAGTAGACATTCAGAACTCCGGATAAGATTTAATAAATCACCATTGCCCAATTAATTGGGTGTTGATTGCATATGAACACATGAACGATAAAGAAACTTGACTTGATTTGTAACACTGTAATTACCTAATGTAACCTTTGCGTACCTGTATTTCATTACAGATAATTAAATTCTGATTTATGCATGCCTCATCTATTCATGAATTCTTCTGCAGTGAATAATGTACAAAAGGTCTACGTTATAACCTACTTAGAATAGAAATCACAGAGAATATATCTCACACACGCATTTTGATATTTTTTTTACACGCAGTATAATGTTTCTTGTACATGAGTTATAACATCAATACATGGACCAAACATAGAGCCTCGGGGCTATTTAGCTCACCTTACAAGTTTCTAAAAAATCATAATAAAACGGTAAACAAATATGCAAGAATACGTAACAGACGGTTCGATACAGCATGGGAAATTTGATAACGATACCTGCAGGAATGGCAGGGAAATGGCAAATTGGCATTTATGTTGGCTGCCATGACACAGGGCGAGCATTCTGTGAGAAGCTTTAGCGACACCATTGCTGGGATCATAAACCAAGAATTCAAGCTAAAATAGTCGAAAGGAGATGGCAATAAAACTAGATAAGGAAAATAATAATATGATGTAAAGTCTTAGCAGGGTCAAAATTAATACATGCATAAACATTTTTATGTGCATACCACATACGTACTGCATATAAAATATCCCAAAGATAAGAACAGAAAGGCCCTGTAAGAGACACCATTGCTGGGGTTACACACTATTATTAAACCAAGAAGCTTTTGCCGAAAATGCAGTAAAACTAAATACGGTGGGTAGATTACTATACTACCATATCATTTGTTTTATTTTGCATATCATGTACTCACTGAATATCTCGTATTATCAGATATGTCGTATTTGCGTGCCATGAGCTCACTGAAACTGAAGTTCCAATAGAACCCATTTCCGCGGATAATCGACACTGATTATTCTCTGGTTTATATTTATATTTACTTTACATCCCCGTTACTCGCCGAGTCTTACCAGGATTTGATTGGAGGATGACAACAACATGGCGTTATAAACATCGAAACAATCCCAGTAATATGGGATCTCAGCTTACCTCGGACGTCGGCCGGAATGTCATGTAATGAAATTTCGGTACCACAATCCGGAATTATGTGCCCGTTCTCCTGACGACTCGCGGTAACACCAACGTTACCATCATCCACACCAACAGCCTTTTCCACCATGAACCGTGCATTCTGCATGGTGTGTAGGGATATTATAACAAGATTATCTGCACTGTGTCCATAGCACAACCCAAGTATATGTTCTCTATACACGTTAGTAAATACCTCACGTCTTCTGTTGAACACTAGATCTAGGAAATTACGTGTGGTTCAGAATAAGCACATACATCATGGCCTTGATTCAAACGCGTTGTTGTTTTTTGCGGGAGGTATTTCCCATAGCAGGTATTCAAACGGATTCTGTGGCGGTACACAAAGTTGGGTATGTCCTGGAAATGATAACACGTTCTATACAGCAATGCCAGTTGGAGTTGCGGCAGTGATTTCTTTTAACACGTCCCAATGGCGGGATGCAGGGTAGTAGAAACATGTAGTATGGGATGGTCCTAAATACGTTCATTAAGCATGATAGATATATTGCTATATTATTTTAATGTGTTCGTCATTAGTAACATTATGCATTAATCTCACGTACGCTGTGAATTGTGTGAACTGGCACGTTGTGATGGCTGTGATGTACAAACTACCCCTGTCATGATTTCACATACATATGTTGCTGGCAGACAGTGGGAATTACACACGTCTTAAGTTGGCTCCACAGTATCGCGACATATTTTCAGTCACCCATACCTGTGCTCGTTGGTTTCACCAAAGTTGTAAACGTTGCGTAACTTCGGGTTTGATATGACTGAAACACTGTTCAAAACGGTGTTAAAAACAACTCACTCACTCACTAGGTCTACGCACTTGAGTGTCCTGTGTGAAACCGAGAGCGATTTTGCCTTTTAGGTCCAATGGGATCCGCGGATCGAGACTGGTTATTCTCTGGCGTTGGTGTTCTATATTTATTGAGGGACTTGACTTACACTTGCTGCCACTGCAACTTGGTCCTGAGACAAGCTCCGTCATTTAACTGTTTCTAGTTATCGTACAGTGTCAGAGAAACAGATAAATCAACAAGACGACGGAACACTGTCATGATGCTGGCAATGATGGAAACTAATAAAGAACGTCTATTAGCCTGAATAGTGATAACATATAGCAATTGGTTGGTTGGTTGGTTGGTTGGTTGGTTGGTTTGTTGTTAAACGCCGCACTCAGCAATATTCCAGCTATATGACGGCGGTCTGTAAATAATCGAGTCTGGATCAGACAATCCAGTGATTAATATCATGAGCATCGATTGTGATATCAAGCAATTAGGATACGATGACATGCATCAACCAAGTCAGTGAGCCTGACCACCCGATCCCGTTAGTCGCCTTTTACTACAAGCATAGTCACCTTTTACGGCAATACCCTCCATAAGGTTTTAAATTCTGCTAGCCCTTAGGATACCTTTACCATTAAAAACACTTGTCTGGGCTAGCAGGCTTGTAATAATTTCCATCCACGATGCTGACAAACACCAATGATCCTTGTCTTTTATACGAACCAACACACGAGCAAAAGGGAACTGCAGGAGTGACAACTTTTCTTATAGCCTTAATACTTGAACAGGATATTGTTCAAATGTCATGTAGTAATTGTTTTTGATTGTTATGTACGATTAGGACCATGACGTCATATGTTTAAAATTCGACAGTGACTAAACAACAATGATGACAGTATCACGTGTACAGTATCAGTATGTACGTATGTTTATACGGTCGGATTGTGATTGGCTGTTCATCTGCCAAGATTTGTTTATCTAGGGTTTGAATGACACAAAGTGATACCTTACAATCAACAATACATTTTATAGGCTGTTATGCTCAAACCAGCTGTAGGGTAACAGAATGTTTTAAGGAGCAACTGTAGATCCAAGACTATGACTTCTATTCCCAATTCATTGACGTTTTCAGTGACACTGATCAGAAATTTCCCCTCTAGTCCAATGGTGATGGTGACACACTCTGGCTTCACCCCTCTGTCTGTTGTTACTGTTACTGGCACCAGGCATCTCCTTGTGTTTATGCACATGTACAAACAACAGACAAGAGTTTAATTCTGACGTGACTTTAGTTCTGAAGCAATCTATGTTTGAAAAAATAACTGCTCCATAGTCTAGGATGTCCCCAGCGCTGTTGACAGCAGCAGGTCTGTATCAACTGAAACATATGCATCTCCACTCTCTACACAAACCGACAAGGCCATGATAAATGAGACACATTGTAACACTTCACACCATGAGAGACCATGATTGATATTTCAGTTATAGTTTTTAAATGTCTGTCCTGATAAAGTCCTCACTCTGCTGATTATTACAATTTAGTTCTCTTTGAAAACATTTTCTTCCAATAAGAAATGAGACATGTAAAGTTTTTTCAGCAAGTAGAAACAATATCCTGAGATTAATATTGTGCACATCTGAAACAATCACACACAACACAGGCAGGTCTCGTAGTTCAGTATTTTAGCACTGTTCCCAACAGTAAGATGTGTATAACTCACATGTTAGAGGTACCTCATAAATGTACCATAGTGCCTTATAATTTTTAAGTTTGTCCAAAAAGTGTGCATTGGTGAGAAAACAGAATAAAATCAGAACTTTAACTCGCTTTACTTTCATAAAGTAAAACTTCACTTATATGATTCGTTTAGTAAGAAAAATCATAAATATTTGAAACATTGGGTCAATATATAGCTTCCATTAAATGTGAATGAAAGTGTTACAATTACCATATAAACCTTTTAGAATTCATGTCATAAACTATTATCTGCATATCATTCTCATGAATGTGACCTAAATAACACACACTTATCATATGCGATATCAAGCACATATTGTACAACATTCTCATTTATCAGGACCTTGTTTTTGATATCTAAAAGCATTTTTCTGAGGCAGGAACACAAAGAGTATATAAACAAATACATATCAATTTGATGTTTATTTGGTATGTGATCACAAATAATTTAAACAGACATGCCTTTAATTGTCCTCACTTATATTACAATATTGTCAGTTTCTCTATATACAATATCAGCTTCAAAAGTACTTCCCCCACACATATAAAATGCTGTCTTCAAAATGACAATGACAGGGATTGATGGACTCCCAAGTAAAATAGAATATATATGTACAGTCAACAGAGTACAGGTCAACAATGTACCAGCATGTGAAAACTACAGCCCAAGAACAGATCAACCAGTCTTGCTTTATAGTTTACAGATATGTTTTGAGGAATACAACCAAAATAATATGCATAAAGCATACCTTATTAAAAATATTTTGAATGTTTACAAATTGTTCCTTTTTAAAAAGAAAATATTAAAAAGATAAAATTATTTTATTTACCGTATGGAACCTGTAAACGTAGAAGGTTATCGACCTAAGGGAGATAAAGATTCCCTCTTGTTTCTCATTCCCTGATTCTGACTCCATTTACTTTGTAATTTAATCTGGGGCGGTGGATTAACCCAGTGGTTACAGTGTTTGCTTGTCACGCTAAAGACACGGGTTTGATTCCCCACACGGATACGTGTGAAGACTATTTCTGGTGTCCTCAGCTGTGCTTTTGCATGAATATTGCTAAAAGCAGCATAAAACCCAACTCACTCACTCACTCTTGTTTAAGCCAATAGAAAACTGAAACATCAGAAAGTTTAAACAACAGTCTGACCTAGTCATCTTAGATAGTGGGAATGCTTTGTGGTTATTGTTATTTCAGAAAATCTTTTATAGGTAATGATGCCAACTTGCTACTGATCAGGGAGTGAGAACAAGAGTGGCCTGTTTATCACATGTATGGCCAACCACATAGCATGTCCTACTGCTAGGCTAAATGTCACATGTAATTTGTGTGAATAAACATGGATAAGGTTGTTGGTTTCATGCAATACACTGTTACAACACATCAGCTACACAACGCTTGCATCACGACTACATCTGCATACATGTATGTATCACGACGACATCTGCATGTATGCATCACGACTACATCTGCATGTATGCATCACGACGACATCTGCATGTATGCATCACAACTACATCTGCATGTATGCATCATAGGTCGGAAATCTTTCTCCAAACGCAAAATTCATTTCATAAAATTTCTACACATCTATCAAACAACCATAGACCCCTATGCATATGAACATATAAGTAAGCCTGAGCTAACAACAGAAGATATTACAGATACGATTAATCATACAAGTACCTGAAAGTGAAGGTCATCAAAGTAAAATACTTCTTTCATAAAAACAGGTTTTGCATATAATCACTAACTTTATCAATGTGAAACACACTAACAATCACGATTTCCCTCTCATCGACAGATCTAATGTGATACAAGATAATTATACCATATTGAATAGGAATATATTGTTCTATAATGTCACTGTAGTAAATGTATGATACAAGTGACCATGAAAATGCATGGAAACATATATTATATAAATTGGTTTCACACACTATTTTTCAATATTATCATTCTACGTGGTAGGATAATACGTTAATATCATTCGCTAAAAGTAAACACAACTGTATAAAGTCTCTCACAATGCAACTGCATACTACATTCTGAAAGCATACACACTGACAAAACTCCTTCAAAGAAAAGTTAGTATAATATTATGTGCATAATTTACTTCACAATGTAAGGAAACCACACATTCTCTCAAACCTTTCTTTTGAATTATTTCTTAATACCTAGACAGGTGTTTTCACAAGCTTTTAAGCCAATAAAGAGCTTAACTGACTAATAATCTATCTTGAGATGTAAATCTACTCAGATAGGTATATAATAAAAATAATTACATGGAGAGCTTTAACAATGGGTTTCTTGATAATAATATAAGTTTCATCCATCAGTGTAAATCATTTACCATACGGAGTCGAGGACATTGAATAATTTATTTACTGAGTAATTAACCTGTTGTGATCACAAGAGTACACTGCCATTCAAACTGTGAAAGATTATGGGACACATGACAGACACCCTTGAAGAGTTAATTCAACACAGACTACAGACTGTAAATATTTCGGAATGAGCCATACTTGGAGAAATCATGCACATAGAAAGTTAATGGGTCAATATTAATATATCGTCAGCGTGTTACATAGCAAATCTACAGTTTCGTTGTATATATCTGTATACATCTACAAAAGTATTGAAACAAGAGTTTCTAGCTTGTTACCCAAGTCAGATGCCCAGCAACTACCAACCTACGACTGATAGGGCAGCAAATCCCATCTACAATGAAGCACCAATAGGATAGTACATGTTGAAGCTCAGCAGTACCAAACCTGGGCCATAACAAACTCATTATCTGTTTGTCAAAATCTCTGGCATTTTTCTCCCCCTAACTTTTGTGTGTGTTGATATATCATAAGGCACATGTCACCATTTTATCAGCTAAAAATATTGGGCAAAATGCCTTCTTACTAAAGTTTTGGCAAGAAAAACAACAGGTACTTCCTGAAATCTTTAGCATGTATTGCCTTATTACAGAGTGGGACTACACAACATGACACATACGAGCCGAGAGGAATTTTCATTCTGCCATTTTTTTCACGAGGGTTTGACGTTACTCTTGACCCAAGAATCTGATGAACAAATAATTAATTTGTTATGGCCTAATCTTATAGTTGTTATTAGCTTTTTTTCTTTTCATATAAATGTTACATTTCAAAATGGTACTTTTATATTATCACTATAATTTGAGTTATAATCTCCACAAGTTCCCTTGTTCGTACTGATTAGTTCCTATACAGTATTCAGGACATTTTCAGTCGAAGACATCATCGTAACATTCCTGGTTGTTATGCACGCCCTCTAGTGGGCAGCATCCTGCTACATACCAGAAAAAGCAATAATCATCACCTACAGATCCTGGACTATTTGTAACGTGGCTGAACTTTATGAAGGGGAGACAACCTCACACAAACACACACTTTGTAAAGTGTTAATTCCAAGTATTTGTTTTGAAACATTAAATGAAACAAACATAAATAGATGAAGTTTGTATAATAATCAATTTGCAATGAAACCATTTGTTTCGCAAGAAAGAAACTACTGAAAATAAGAAAGAAAATAAGATATTTTTCAAAGTTTGTGAACATTATTTATATTGAACTTCATTTTTAAGTAGCATTTTAGAAGCAGACGTTTCATTGACAAAACCCTTTCAATAATCATAAGAAATCTCCATTGTACGATTTTGACCATATCATAAGTATGTGTTTATGACTGATTACTTCTGGGTTTGGGTTGACATGGACTTCTACCTCTTTTTTCTTTCAATGGGACATTTCAGTACGGGTTCCAGGACCTTATTACGCAAGCTTCATCACAGCTTGATGAGGACCTAGCCTGGTACCAAAATGTGGCACTGACCGAACAAAGATGTTGAAATCCATCAGTCAACCATGTTGTTTTCATTTATTTTGAACTTGTAATCCTGTTCACACAGTTTGTTTTCATTTATTTTGATCTTGTAATCCTGTTAACACAGTTTGATAGAAACGATATAAATATTCAAACTTAAGGACAATAACTGAAATGAGGACAAACATGTCAAGATTACTTATACTTAATCCTACTGTCATAATCTTACATACCTTGTACCAGACACATGCACAATCAGGTACCATTTAACAGAATGACTAATCATGAGGGAGAGATTAACAAAAGAATGTCATTTTAAGTCATAAAACACAATGTAACAAAATAATTTAACAAGATAAATCCTTTGAGACCCTGTGACTAGAAAAAAAATAATGGTCCAAATTAAAACTGTACCATGTGTAGTAACAAACAATGATAAAACACTGATCATGAACATAAAAGATATGCAACGATAACCTTCTACAGGTGATAAATAGGTTCTAAATGTTTGTTATTCAAAATCAGGTAAATATATGTTGCAATTGTAGTCATTGTTAAACTCAGTATGACTGACATGTTGATCTATGTGAATCACTAAAAAGAAATACATTCTAGCAAAATGTTTGCCCTTTATAGGTGGTTTAGTGTCATATTTTTAGCTTCTTTGTCAAATTTGGGAAAGGTCAATACATGATCATAACTACAGGTGCAATATTTTACACCATAAGTAACATTAATACAGTGTGACATCGCTCCATGATCATAGATTTGTAGCCCATACTACCAAACAGTACCGCCTAGATCAACAGCGTTTCACTGTATATAATGCAGCTCTACAACACTGGAAACAAGATGCATTGTCAGAAGAGTGATTATGTTTTACAGTTCTCATGAAATCATGTGGTCTTACAAAATATGTTGTACATGTCTATCAGATATATATTTCCAGCAGTACATGATATGAAATATACAGGAACATGCATTTCATTATGGCCTTCATCGTTGTACATATCATCATCAAATTAAGTTCAGCATCAAATATCACCAATCATCAAAACACACGACTACAGTGTCCAACATACTTCATCCTGTTATGGAACAAGTTGTTTGAATAATAGCATAAATAGTGGTTGCCATAGTGATATGTTACAGTCAGCAGAATAGCCATAAGGAATATAGTTCCTTTGGCACTTGGATAAACTAACTTAGTTTCTTCTTACTGGATTATAAAAAGTTTTAAAGAAATACAAAAATAATATTCTTATTTTGTACGTCAAGATTAAACTTTTAATATTCCGTGTACAGATAATTTTTGTAACTACAGTGCTCCCTCGATATTGCGCTCTTCAATATAGTGATAACTCGATATTGGCGGTAAAGCATGACTCTGAAAATTTACTTACATTTTAATAAACTCAAGTTTTGACACAATGTTTTCCCCATCTAAAAAAATTTTATCAGCTGATCACCGCGATCACAAAACACCCGAAATACCAGTCAACAAATCTAAACTGAAGTACTCAATTTAATCCCATTATTATACTACATATCTGGTTCTAAAGAAGGTGTTCATTGTAATATATTTCATTGTTTTATTCAAAATTTCATTCGGTAATGTTTACATTAATTTTGGCAAAATCGTGTGTGATATGGTATTTTAAGCAATATGACCAATCAATGCCACTGAATCACTCTGTACTTGTGTAATGAATTGTGATTGGCTCTTCACTCATAGCATCTGTTACTACCATTATCGATCGATATATTCATGTTAGTAGACTACATTCACATTGAATGTGACAGTTAAGGCTTGTAAATAATAACAAACAGCGAAAACATAATGGATATATATTTTTACACTATGAACGGTAAACAACTTGTATCATTGCAATGTGCGAGACAAGGCGAAGATCGTGAGCTTGGCCGAGCGCGTTCCCCCGCCTCGGCCTCGGTTAAACGGCTCATCGTAAATAATGCCCACCAATTATTTGGACCCCATTGGTAGCGTTGTAGCGAGGGACCACTGTATCTGGTTCTAAAGAAGGTGTTCATTGTAATATATTTTATTGTTTTATTCAAAATTTCATTTGGTTATGTTTACATTAATTTTGGCAAAATCGTGTGTGAAGCGATCGGTAGATCGCACAACTCACTGTTGTTTACAGCAACCCTTTACATTTTTGCAACTACACATAGTGTTTATAAATGTTTTCAAACTAAAACATTGTTAATACTATTTAACTATTTACTTTGTGCAAAAGTAAAAGAATATTTTGAGTTTCTTTTGTAAACAGGTGGTATCTTTCATGATAGCTTCCTCTACAACCAGAAAACTATTGAATCTTTATTCTCAAGTTTTGTAGAGAAAGGCTATGAAAATACAAGTAGGTCAAACATGGTATAAAAGCAGTATGACAAAAGCAGACAGTATTTGGTTTTCACTGAGACAGATGTCTATTGAAGTTCAGAGCCACAACATCTAGGCACAAAAAGTCCATATTTGATTCATGGGAAAGATGTTTTATAAGGTAAAAGACAGATGAAGATAAAACATGTGTTTTCAGCACAGAACAAATAACAAGAAACAGTTAGAAATAAAACACAAATAGAAATCATTGAGCCATTTCATTAATATGGTCGTGTTTCCAAATTATTGAAATCCATTAACATCACAATGCTCGCAATGTGACACATACTGGGGTATGTGTCTCAAACTTGTCACTTTTTGAGAAAAAAAATTAAGTTCAGTTTTGATAAAGACGAGGTATAAAAAGGCCAATAGAAAGGCAACTGAGTTCTTGTTGGAAATGGAAAGTTATTCATGTTAATGTTTTCTGGGTACACAGATTTGCCGTGCCCGAGAATTGCCAGGTTTTGACCACCTTAAATATGTGAGGGCCAAATTCTTCAAGGGCCGGCTTGTTGGCACTGTTTAACATGAAATTATTACTTGTAATATATCACACTATTTGAACATGAAGAAGAGGCAAATATTGGCACATGTCATGTTTTGATGTTTTATATTCCTTTTGTAAACACTTAAGGTGTGAGGTCACCTGTTTGAAATTCAGCATTCAGTACCTATGATTGGTGAAACATGCTTCCAAAGGCATTGTAAGTGCCTACAGTCAGCTTAACCATTACCCAGAGACTACCCTACACTGTTCAGACGAACAAAACGCCATTTGATATGAACACCATCTGACATTAAATACTGGATATACATAAAATGTCTTCATAATTTAAATCACAAAGTTCAGGCGCTCACTGATGCGCTCTATGTACATTGCAACATAATATGCAGGTGACTGACAGTCAGATAAAATGTGACCTTGACTGGTTGCTTAGCAACACAGTAACTGAGGTATATCTAAATTGTTTCATGTAACATTGATAGAAAATTAAGTTAAACAGGTCACAAAGCAGTAATTCAAGTCATGGTCACCATGTTAACAGAAGTAATGTCATGACATAAAGGTGTGAAGGATTTGGAGCTCTCTGAAAAGCCATGGAATGACATTTGCGGAAACTATTATTGTCAAAGAGTAAAGAAATTATTAAGATTTCAAATACTGTGTTTAAAATGATGTTTGTAAAGGAAATTTGACTTATGATATAGATTATACATTGATATTTACATTAATGGCTCATATAAGTTATTGGAATTGCCACAAAATATCTTCCCCTGCCCTAAATAGTTTACTAAAATAATTTTCCTTCCAGCCACCACAACAGCTTCAAAGTGTATACCGATGTTATCAAAATAAACTGTACTCCTGCTTCTCCATAACTGATATCACATCCTTGGTTTGATTACAAGTCACCTCCTCATCACGCATCTGTTTGCCTCCCTGATATGTGACTTCTGTGCTGACCTTGACCTGGGTGAAAGGTCATCAAGAGTAGATGGTGATGACCTCACGGCCACTCCCTCTGACCATCAGTACTCGGTCAAGCCCCTCTGTCAATACTTCCAGGAACTCCATGTCTGATGCTGGTCAAGGAATCTTAAAATCCAAGAATATGTATTCTGTACGTTCTATATACATGTATCATTTGTAAAGTGTTTGTTACCTATGGAAAGATTCCATAAAGCTTAGACCATACATTCTTTGCTCCCCCAATTTGCATCGGAAAAATATAAGGCTTCCAGAACTCAAGTATCACATGATATAAATGAACTTTTTGACCCAAAAAATCTTTGAAACCAAACTGCAACAACTGACAAATATGGTATCAGTGACTCAATATCCAGCCTATCTATAATGACGATGAGATCATTAAAAACATGTTCATAAACTTATATTATCATTTTTCTCCCTAAATTGTATGTCTTGAAAAACGGCCTATAATCAATGCACTTCCCCTTCCAAATAGATGCATTCAGGGAGTAAGTGCCCATGTTTGTGATTGTCTTGCACTTGGTAAAGGATACAGTTTTCTTCACCAGCACTTGTCTTCGGGGGTGCAGGTAAGTTAAGAATCACCAGTTGAGCATCATGGGATTTCTCTACGATGTGTTCATTGAGTCTCACAGCTGTGTGCATTCTTCTTACGTTTCTTGTGTCTCTGAAAACATTAGAAACTCCACTGTAACTCTAGAACATGCAACCAGGAGGCGGAGGAGGCCCCAGGGATTTATATGGGCCTAGCAAGTTTTGAGTCTCGGGAAATTTCAGTAATATATTTTGGGGGTCCATAGATGAAATTAAGGGCCCCAGGTAACCACTTGGACCTTCTTTACATCAAAAAGCTTGTGTGACTTTCAAGAAGCTTAATGGTGTTTTAACATTACACTAGCTCTGTAGTCTTATTCTTAGGCAAAAACAAATCCTTTAGTGTCAGGTAACATGGCCCCAGCAGACATGGGTCATTAGGTCGGGGTCTTGTTTCATATATTTTAAACAATGTTTACCACTGATGGCTTGTTTAGGTTTTGATGTTAGTTGCAGTGTATCTTGAATTGTGTAGATCAAAATGACAACAACATTAAAAGGCAGAATGTAAACTAGACTATTTGGGGGCTGTTTACAGCTGTGATAACAAGTGTTTAGGTAGGTCACAAGTGACAGACTTGATCCACACTACATCTTACAGCCTCCAGTTGCAGTCACATGTTCTGTAAAAGGCCTGAGAAACATTTATTTAAAGACAAGCTTTATCTGTGCCTTCAATGACAACATTGCTGTTATCTGCAGGTATCTAACTTGGGGGGGGGCACAAAACAAATTTGTTTTGTCCTTGACCATACAATAACCATCGAGGGTACTACCCTGTCCTAGTAGTAGAAACAAAGAAGCCACGCTGGCCCCAGGTACGGCTGGGGCTTCAAGCCAGACCCAGTAACTGTACCAACTATTAGCAGGAGGTCTACATGACTGTAACCTTGCTATTAGAACTGTGTCTTAAGCGAGGTCGGAATGCCTGGTCAAAGAAAACACTTGTAAATTAACTTTCTTGACACAGCATCAAATAAACGTGTTGTAAACAAATTGCTCCTTGTGAAGAACTAGGTTGACTTGATGAGAATGGACAACATATTTATGATGTATTATAAAAATATTGGTCCAAAGAGCAATAGGAAATCCCACCTGCAAACAATGAAAGTTAAACAGCTGGAACATGACGTGGATGTTTACACTTAATTCCATGAACATTTATTACTTCAAAGTAAGGTTTCATTCTTCGCATATTGACATGTGCCCAAATCTCTTTGAAAAATGGGATTAAACTCTTCATTCATTCAAATCAGTGTTATATTAGTGACAATACATGCAGAAAAAGCATTTGTTGACGCTAAGCAGTTAGTCGGTGTTGGGTTCAAACCTGTAACAATTGGCAGCCTGAAAATCATGAGCATGTCATATATATCAGTCATATATATCATTCATATGAGCATCCAGTTTATGTCATAACATTTCTACCATGCAGCGTAAGCTTTCATAATTCTCTCTGAAGTGAATAAGATTTTGTTTGGCTGGTTGTTGCTTACCACCACACTCAGCAGTATTCCAGCTATCTGACTGTGGTCTGTAAATAATCAACTCTGGGGCTGACAATACAGTGATTGACACACTCAGCACTGATCTAAGCAATTGGGATATCATGACATGCATCAACCAAGTCAGCGAGTCTGACCACCCGATCCCATTGGTTGCATCTTTCGACAAACATTGGTTGCTGAAGACCAATTCTAAACCAGATCTTCACAGGAAAGTGAATAAGGTGAAAGTATAAACTGCAACTATTTCAAAATGCAAAAATAAGTAATCCAATTTGACAAATGCAGCAGTTAGATTTCTCTCAACAAACACACTTCAAGCAATGATATGCTACAGGAAGTTGATCTTTTCTTGTGTTTGTTGTGGAGCATGCATGATTGACATAAATCCTTCAGAAAGAAGTTTCTAGTTACAAAATACTTGACATTCTAATTTGTTCTAAGACAGACATCTAGATAGTAAAATCTTTGAGCTAACTATAAATGATAACGTTTGGCTAAACAGATGCTACTCATGTATGGGAGTCACACAGGTAAGCATGGTAAACAGTATATTCTAGTAACAAAGGGAGAATGTCAGCACAAAAACTTCAGGGTGTGTGAGTAAGTGATTAGTAATGCAAAGGGTGGAATGTCAGATATTCTATGACTCTGTGATAATTGGATTCTTTACAGACACATTTTGTCTGTTTGAAAATTGGATATTTATAATTCAAAGTTCAAACTTGAATATTTCTTTGTCATTATTATGTAATGTGTTTGAAGATTTATCACAGAGACAGGCTATCTGACACCCCTAAAACAGCTGTGATAGTGGTTGCAAAGAGGTTAAGCTTCTTACGGCTTAGGAAGTGACTGAGGGGATCTGAAACAACAAGCATGGCAATGACGTCGCTGAATCTGTACATCGGCAGAACAGACATGTACACACCATGTAACATGCACACATCATCATTGGAAGCATCCGGAAATAGATGCAACACGTTCCATTCCCATACTGCCTTGGGGCATCGGTGCCTAGTCGTCTATGACAGCGGGTTCGAATCCCAGATTCACTCTGATATGTTTCTAGGTTTGTCAGCACCATACCGGCACCCACAGGTTTCACTAAAGAGGTAAATGTCAAGACCAGCATCACTTTGGACTTTCTCCCACAATAAGCTGTCATGCCGTGATATAACACTGAAATACTGTTCAAAGCGGCGCTAAACCCACACTCACACTCACACTCACACTCACACCACTGCCTTCTCAGCACTTAGACACTGCATCAGTTCCTGAAATAGAGACTGTGTGGTAGACATGTAGCAATCTACACCTGTTGATTGCACCATGAGAAACCCAGTTAGAAACGTGCGGTCAGAGATAGGATTATTCCACACGTGTGAACACACCAATCACATAATTTCATTGTGTCTGCCAACACTGACGTAGTGAACTGTTTATCACTGCCTATGTCACAGCCAAATTTACAATGGGCTTGCCCATTACATATATAGTAATTATTACATGTGTCTGTCATACTGATTTGAAGATTTGCCCATCCCACATCACAATGTACCTGCCCTGGCACATAACATCTCATATATCAATACCCTGCCCATCCCATATATGCTACCCATCCAATATAATAATGTATCCTGCCCATCTCATATACCAATACTTTCCCATCTCCTACAACAATACCTGCCTATCCAATATATCAATACCATCCTATCTCCTATAACAATACCTGCCCATCTCATATCTTATATATCAATACCATCCCATCTCGTATAACAATATACCCTGCCCATCTCATACATCAATACCATCCTATCTCCTACAACAATACCTGCCCATCTCATACATCAATACCATCCCATCTCCTATAACAATACCTTGCCCATCTCATACATCAATACTATCCCATCTCCTATAACAATACCTCCCCATCCAATATATCAATACCATCCCATCTCCTACAACAATACCTGCCCATCTCATACATCAATACCATCCTATCTCCTACAACAATACCTGCCCATCTCATACATCAATACCATCCCATCTCCTACAACAATACCTGCCCATCTCATACATCAATACCATCCTATCTCCTACAACAATACCTGCCCATCTCATACATCAATACCATCCTATCTCCTACAACAATACCTGCCCATCTCATACATCAATACCATCCCATCTCCTACAACAATACCTGGCCCATCTCATATATCAATACCATCCCATTTCCTATAACAAAACCTGCCCATCCAATATATCAATACCATCCCATCTCCTACAACAATACCTGCCCATCTCATATATCAATACCATCCCCTCTCATATATTAATACCATCCCATCTCCTATAACAATACCTGCCCATCCAATATATCAATACCATCCCATCTCCTATAACAATACCTGCCCATCCAATATATCAATACCATCCTATCTCCTACAACAATACCTGCCCATCTCATATATCAATACCATCCCCTCTCATATATTAATACCATCCCATCTCCTATAACAATACCTGCCCATCGTATATATCAATACCATCCCATCTCCTATAACAATACCTGCCCATCCAATATATCAATACCATCCCATCTCCTACAACAATACCTGCCCATCTCATATATCAATACCATCCCATCTCCTACAACAATACCTGCCCATCTCATATATCAATACCATCCCATCTCCTACAACAATACCTGCCCATCTCATATATCAATACCATCCATCTCCTACAACAATACCTGCCCATCTCATATATCAATACTATTCCATCCCACTTAACCATGCAGTTGTGGTTTAGAATTGACTCTTAAGTTTCATCTTAAAATCTGAACACAAGAAATTATTTTATTACAGAAAAAAACCCATTCCCTTTGTGGTATAGTTTGTAGGCACAAAGAGTTGTTATGAATATATATATATATATATATATATATATACACAGAAGAGCATGATTCAAAATATCTGATAGACCAAATTAAGGGAGTGCACTGTGTGAGGCCACTTAGAATTCGGTGTGTACGTTTGAATATTGACCCTCCCGTAGTTTGGTGTATTAGATGATAAGCTGTATTCATGCATCAACCCAAGTCCGTATGAGATTTACTAGATTGCAGTGTCGAGAAGCTGTACACTGTGGGATTATACACTACTGGTATGTATATTAGACTAGACAAAGCTTCAATCGGTGCCCATTTCTAATCAAAGAAGTGTTGGAAACAAATAAACAAATTTCAATGTAAAATATCAAAACACATTTTCCAAAATCTACTTCAGTGATCAAGGTAACAAGAATCTTTATGAACAATGGTCATTTGTATCAGTTGATTATTGGAGGATGTTCAGTGTTATTTTACCATCTCTGCTTCTGTTGCCTGTGGTGAGTGAGTGAGTATGGTTTTACGCCGCTTTTAGCAATATTCCAGCAATATCACGACGGGGGACACCAGTAATGGGCTTCACACATTCTACCCATGTCGGGAATCGAACCCGGGTCTTCGGCGTGACGAGCGAATGCTTTAACCACTAGGCTACTCGACCGCCTGTAACATTTAGGGATTACAATTCTGATCCTTTGCTATTATCAATATATTTCAATAACTTTAACACCCATGACCATTTCAGGGCCATGTTCACAAAAGTGATGTCACATAGGTTAGTCTGGATCTGCACAGAGGTTAATATAATCGGCTCAAAGTCTGCAGCAAATGTCAGTGGAAATTCCCAAATGAGAATTAAGAAATTTCCCAATTTATCTTATTTCAGTTATGAGTAATGCGATGGCTTGGTCGAGGTGACTTGTACTTTACTGATCACAGAACCAATACAGAGAAATAAGGATTACTGCTTTATCTTACATTATTGCATTGAATGTTAGATACCTCTGAAATGAAGATCAGAACTTGAATACAATCCCAATTTTGAACAAAATCACATTTTTTTTCTGAATTTGTCTGCCAAGGGAACTAAATTTGGAAGCCTAGATAGATCCCTGGATCTCAGTACTATGACTATTTAAAGTCTGTTAAAATATATGACTTACAGCAGTTGTAACACTCTCACTGTGAAATGAGACCCTACTTGTACTTATAACATATAACACAGTGTTAATCAAGAGCCATGGTTGTGGCATGAGGTTCACTTATTTCCCAATGTATCGTGGTCAGGTGTACCCTGCTGTTACTGAACTGACAGTCCGGTTTTCCAACACTTCTTCAATTAGAAGCAGGCTTCACAGGCCTGGCGACAGTTAACTGTACTTACGGCTTGAGATTGAGGAGTTGCCCCCCTTGCTGAGGGGTAAAGGTGAACTGGTTGTGTTTACTGTGATCAGTGGGATCAGTCGAGCTCTCGTCATCTATCTCCTCAGGGACAGGGTCAAGACGTAACATCACGTCTGATGGTGTCAGATGCGATCGATCCACAATGGCTTGGGGCTGGGGAAAAACAGATTCATAGTGTGTGATGCTCTTCTGCATAAAATATTAATCGTACAGAAGTTTTATATTTCACAGGGTCATAAAGGTCATCCAAGCAACATATACCTTCAAAATCAAACAGTGGCAGTTAAATTCAGATCTTGTGCATCAACAATATAACATTGAAATATAAAAATTAATATTTTATTACATAAAATTGGCACGTAAAATGGGGGCTGACTCGGTGGTATAATGATTGGATCCTGGGGCCATGCTGACCCGGACGGCAGATTTGTGTCCTGGGGTAGTCCATGACCAGGACGTGGTATCTACTATATCCTGGGGTCGTAGATCCAGATGAGATAAGATGTACAAGTCTGGGTCCGACTATGCCTGTAGTTATTGGCCTGGGGTTGTGTATAACCCGTGAGTTAATGAACTGGCTGGGGAAAAAACATAACGAGGTGCAACCAAAAACTGCACATGCGTTGCTTGTTCGAAGATGGCATGTCGTGATATGTGTCTTCAGTGGACTGGAAATAGCTGCTTGGTTTGGCGTCTGCTTTGAGAGTCTGATAAACTTATAGATGTAGGGGCCACATTGTTTCCATCTTCCGTATTGAATTCCAAACACGACAATGATGCCACATTATTGGTCCATCTTGCACTTCTCAGACAATGGCTGTCTGTAGCACAATTGACCATATACAGTTGCATCAAAGATTTTCTTGTCCATGCTACCGGAACACGAAAAAAGCCCATATCAGGCAGCCGTTTGCGTAACTCAGCGACTGTAGGGTGGAAACCTAGTTTTATTGTCTCCACAATGGTTGACCTGGCTTATTTCTGGAACTTGTTAAAGTGGAACAGTTATCTAGCCCTAGTGCTGCGTAGACACAAAGGACTTAGAAAATGGCAGGAGTATGGTTGTTGGGCACAAACTAAAATACAAATTCTGTGGAGGTAATCAAGAATCAGCTTCAAAATTGTACAACACATGTCTTCTGCCGGACAAGCAAACGCCCTACCATACTGCCTAAGAATCTGTGAAGAAGTCCTCAGACTCAAATTTACCACATCTCAACAACTCTTGTATCAACAACTCAAGTATTTGCTGGTATACAAACAACAAGTCTGAGATTGTGTGTCAGGGTATTGCCACATTTCCATGTCTAATGAAGGTAAAGCTTGAGGATCACCTGCTACAAACAAGCAGTTTGAGATTGTGGGTCAGAGTAGTGTCAAAGTTCCATGTCTAATGGAGGTCAAGCTGGAGTATTTGCCGGTATACAGACAAGCAGTTTGAGATTGTGTGTTTGGGTAAGATCTTTAAAATTCAACTTGTAGAAGAAATTGAGTGTCCTCTGTTCAAGGGAAGTCAAGCTGACATCTGCTGCAGCCTAAAAGTGACACTCACCTCCATTTTATGCAGTCTCATGTCCCGCAACATCTGGGTCCTTTGTTCCATCATCAGTGTACGCTCATATGTGTATGCTGAGATGTCAATGGTGCTCTGAAACATGCATTCATCACCCAAGTAAGTCCGAGAACATGGGCGGATACAGCTTTTTTGAAAAGGGGGGGTGCACAATTAAGATCTATTTATTGTCTTTGGTGGTAATTTATACAGAAATAAAGATTTTTTTCGAAATAAAAAGGGTGGGTGCGCACCCCCCCTCTGTATCCGCCCATGCAGAATTATCACTGAAAGCTAGGCATCCCCACAGTAATCTCATGGTGACATTCGTTATTTGATGAGCTGATCCTCTTGAAAAATAAACGCTCAAATATTGTTAAATATTTAGCTTAGCTCCTTTTCAGTAACAATAGCAAATAACAATAATTTCCTATTGTTTGTCTGACAAACAAATGTTAACTATCTATAAAATGTTAAATGTTTGCCAATAGTTGAAAGACTGTATCTCTGTTACTCTGTCAATCCTGCTACAAGACTATCCTCTTAAAGAACAATTCTTCATAAACAATTTCATTCCTGAGAATGGGAGACTTCAGTTTCATAGCATGTTGTGCATGGTATCAATGATTATGTCTTCATTCAATATCTAATGTAACTTTAACTCCAAAACTAACAAACTCCTATCTGCGTCATGTGTGACGTGGCCACTCACCATCTCCACAACATTGACCTCAGCCTCAATACGCAGCTGGTAAAGGTACGTCTTCAAGTCCTTCATCATCTCGATCGAGTTGTCTTCCATTTCTACACTCATTAAGGAACAGTTTCATCTCTTGTGGGATGCGGAAAAGTCAAGACCTCACATCACAGGACAATGGAAAGAGATCACAATTTACAGCGAGTGAGTGAATGTTGTTTTAAGCCAGTTAGCAATATTCCAGCTTTAAATGGCCAGGCAAACAAGTGGTTGACATTGTGAGCAATGATCCATTTCTTCAACTAAGACGGTACACAATCAGCTAATTAGTCTCCTCTTATAGCCAGCATCAACTTTAACAAATACTTAGAAAGCTCGTCTCAATGCTTGGATACCTCAGGATCACAGAAACTAATTTTGGCATGTTTTGAGTGACTGACAAATCATTACAGAGATAAGAAATCTTATATCAACACATATTCAAAAGAGATATTCCGGGTCTGGCTGGGCGTGCAGTTGCTCAATACCATCAGGGTCAAACATTCTTCCTTATCAAAGGGAGATAACACTTTCAGGGTGAATCAACAGACCTATTGCCTTATGAAGACTGTAGGACAAAAAACAGACAACAACCATCCAAGATGCGATGAAAGGATACGAGCAACAGTAAAGATCCTCAGTTTGCAGTTCTTCCATGATCGATCCATCCTCAGCAGGAAGGGCAGCAACATCAGCAGTCCACCGTCATGAACAATCCACCAGACGTCAATTGTACCACGCAGTTTCTCGTTGTCAGGGAACATAGTGACACCTTTACACACCAACAGGGCCAACTGCCCAGCTCCCACATTACGCACAGTGTCTGCAATAGGAAAGGAGTTAAACTTTAATTGTCGCATCAGCATTATTTGGCCAAATAGCGTCAAGAACAAGATTATATATACACAGTGAGTCATAAATACAAAGTTATATTTAAAAACAAATTTGTCAAACATATTTGGGCATAACAATATTATTTTTACAGTTTTAAACATGGGCTATACAATAGGAAAGAAACATGGATCCACCATCATGCCCATTAACATGGCCTGTTCCCCTTAAAGTGTTTCCAAAGAGTTATTCTTCCAGAAGATTTTTCAGTCAATGTTTATACACCAACATACAAAAATTAAATCCAGCATCAAATAAAGGCTGGCAAACTCTGCACCCAGAACAGAAGCTGAAGTATATCACTGTATAAACTATCCGAAGTTCTGGACAAGTCTGCCAAATATATCACTACGTTGGGAAACAAAGGATTTTGCAAGGTTAATATTTGTTTCTCAATTAAAAATATAATTTGGTCAAGTAAAACTATGAGCACTGCTACAAACTTTCCTCAGTTGGTAACAGGCATGTTAAGTTGTGTGTCTGTTGTGGTATTTACCCAGGAAGACTTTGTAACTCCTTTCATCAGAGTCGTGTCTCCAACCATATGGCCATCCCACCACAACCGTGTTGTGTTTCAACCCTCCTAGACCAGCGTTCTGTACTCTGTAAAACATGAGGAAATATATGTTAATCATTATGCAGCTATTCTTTTAAATATGCCCGTTTGTGCTTAGACAGAACCCAGTCTAAGAAAATGGCCATGAGAGGGGCACAAGTCACTATTCCGCTTGTCCCCGAATAACACGAGTTGCTTGCGATTGGTCGAAATTGTGAAATCATTACCTTTAACGACCTGTGAAATTTTGCTTCTATAAAACTTCATCTTAATTTAACAAAGGTACAGTTTCAACATTACATATATTTACAGTGTTGTCTCCTACTTACAAATGACACAGTCCCTCCGTGACGGACCTGGCTATCAATACATCGGAGAATCCCTTCACACCGTAATCCTTTATCAGCTTGTCCAGGGTCTGTAATTCCAGGAAAACATACACTCATCTATGAAAACCCTTCAGGGGAATGTATACACTGCCCTCCATCACCCATGACACATGGGGCCAGTATAGAGGTGATGTGTGCCTACTATTAGTCAGTTAATGAAATGAAGCTGTGTATAACTCAGGGAAGTCAAATGAGCCCTACTCATGCAATAACTTTGTCCGAACTCTACCACTGCTTGACACTGTGCAGAGCACAAGGTCAAATGAAAAACATTGATGTTTGTGAGATGGAATCTGAGATCTCATTGGTCTGAGTACTCACTGGTTTTCCTGAGTGAGTGAGTGAGTGAGTGAGTGAGTGAGTGAGTGAGTGAGTGAGTGAGAGAGAGAGAGAGTGAGAGTGAGTATAGTTTTACGCCACTTTTAGCAATATTGCAGCAATATCACGGCGGGAGGCACCAGAATCGGCTTCACATGTAGTCCCGATGTTGGGAATCAAACCCGGGTCCTTGGCGTGACGAGCAAATGTTTTGACCGCTAGGCTACCCCACCGCACCCTCTCGCTGGATGCAGGCATTCCCTGGATTTGTTGGTTTTATAAACGCGACTACACCATAAAGCGACCATATGTACTCATGGGTGATGAAGGAACGTTGTGTATACACTGCAGAGAAGTATTGATTGGCAATCATCATATTTCTACGTGATTGTCAGGGTTATAAAATATAAAGAATTGGTTTTCAGGGTAGGAATGTTTTTGTTAAGGTGTAATTATAGATCAATTAATATTATAATGACCCATAAGTTCTTCTTTTATTACCTATGAGGGCAAACATATTGGGGTTAAAAAAAATCATATGTGCCCTAGGGTCATATCACATCACGAGACAACAGTGTATTGTTTCCCTCATCTGGATGGCATTGTTGATGTCATTCGAATCTTATTGTGACGTGAGGTCGGAATGATGTCACACTAGAAACGACGTCATAGCTGAAGATTGTTGTCATTCGACAAATTGTGGTTCCGCTGCAGTTGCGACTTGCTGTCATTTCTAGAGAAGCACTAAAGTTCTTCTTTTTCGGTAATAAATAGAGCATTATATTCGTGTTCATGTCATACTGTGTTTATGACACTCGTGCCTAAATTCCGGTATTCAGACACTTGTGTCATAAACATAGTATGACATGAACACGAATATAATTCTCTATTTATTACCAAAAAAGATGTCTACGTACCAAGACGAACTTTAGTGCTTCTCTATAAATGACAGCAAGTATTAATCACATCTAACAGGTCACAGCGCCTTTGTTATAATATATACTGCATACTATTCCTAATCGGATTTTCCAACAACCAAAATTAACTGCAGTTGCAATGAAACATAACATAAGGGAGATAACTCTAGGTTAAATGCACTTTTATAGTCTTTCACATGTCTTCATGGTGCAGTTCATATTATGTACCCCTTGTTTTAAACCAAATGTGGATAATAAAGGAAATCTCAACTGAAAGACAACTGTTGTGTAAGGGTCAATACTCACAAGCTTTGCAGCTTGAGCATCAGCAAACTTTTCTGTGAATGTTCCTTCAATCACTGTGTTGACTAAAGTCAGACCTTTGCCTGGAACAGATCAGAGTTAATGAATAGTGTGATAAGGAAGCAGTCTGGAATCAACACTGCATCACAGCTAGACCATGTGACCTTCAGTCAGACCTGGAACAGGTCAGAGTTAATGAATGGGGTGACTAGTCTGGTATCAACACTGCATCACAGCTAGACCATGTGACCTTCAGTCAGACCTGGAACAGGCCAGAGTCAATGAATGGGGTGACTAGTCTGGTATCAACACTGCATCACAGCTAGACCATGTGACCTTCAGTCAGACCTGGATCAAGTGTATCAGCTGCAGGGTGTCGTATAACACCTGTGAGTTGGTCAAAACTTGTGTCCACCCACACAAGGCACCATTTAAATGGATGGGATCAATTTGGCCCCAGAATCATCACAGGGAGGTCTCATTTCAGTTTTGACACCAAACATCTACAGATTCATGTCATTCTCAATGCTTTGTTGATGTTCTGAGGAATAATAATAATAATAATAATAAGTGCATTTATAATGCGCCAGATTCCATTCACCAAGTGGATGCTCATGGTGCTACACTATTATTACCCCGGTCAATGGATCAGTGAGCACACGATTTTCATTCTCAGCTCCCTGGGGAGTATACAACCCAAACTGCCCGTGAGGTGCTAGAAGGTTTACAGCCAAAATACCATCTCATCCTACCGGGTACCCACTCACTGTTGGGTGAACAGAGCCACATTTTGAACAAAGTCACTTGCCTAAGGAGACACCACATGTGGTACATGTGTTTTAGTGTGGGGCAGGACCGAAGTCCTAGAAACTCTCAGGAATCAAGCTGCTGAACGCGGTCACCCATCCAAATACTCTCCTAGACCGACGTTGCTTAACTTCACCTGATTTGTGACCTGTGCACTGTGCACCACCTTATAAGAATGCACTGGTCCCAAAGTTGCATTACTTGACATCGAAGGGCTAGGATCTTCTCTGACATAGTATTCAGACAGCAGTTACTCCACACAGTGCACAGACTCACCTGCCTTCAGCTGACTGGCAAATTTGACAAGCTTTGGGTATTTAGGTTGTAGGTTGTCATCCAGTTTCAGCAACACAAGCAGCTGGGGCCTGAAACACACTCCACATTAGCAACAGGATGGGCTGGAAAACACTGCGGTTCCTATAGTTATAAAATCCAAGGTGACACATGTATTGGAAAGAAATGATCACTTCTATTAATGATAATAATTTCCATTGCCGAAATTTTTGTCTACTTTTCCCATTGCATTGTGACAGCTCATGAGCCTCAGTGGGGAAAGAAAGGACCATGAATGGTGGCACCAGCTGATGCAGTATGCCAGAATTTGTACTTTTGAATGAAATGCTCTGCGTGTGTATTTGTGACATATACAGTGAGTATGGTTTTACGCCGCTTTTAGCAATATTCCAGCAATATCATGGCGGGGGACACCAGAAATGGGCTTCAAATATTGTACCCATGTGGGGATTCGAACACAGGCCTTCGGCATGACGAGCGAACGCTGTATCCACAAGGCTACCCCATTGCCCTGTGACCTGTACACATGTCATATGGAACCTCAGTTAAATAACCCAATTACATGTAACTACAATTTGTGCATCGAACATTGTCCTTATTAGAAGAGTTGGTGTATCTTCCCACACAGCCCTACCTCCAGTTCTTGGTGTGAGGAGGTCCTTCCTGAAGTCGCAGCAGTGAGTAGCGAGCGGCAGACATTGCTAAACCTCGAATACCATCACCCCACTCTTTCTCAGCACTGGAATCAAAACAAAGCTTCTGAACTCGGTGTCTTCACAGCACAAAGAATATCAGTTGAAAGATGATAACTTAACATCTTTTAGTAAATTCTCTGAGGTCAATCATCACAGGTGTACATGATGATCACTCACTAGTTTGTATAAGAAATGAATTTCAATGCAAAGCCCATAAATCTGTTCCACCATACCTCAGTAGAGGTGTGGGATATGGCTACCTTTAACCCTTTATACTTACCCCTTGTGTTCCATGTATATTTAAGGCAGGCAAGAGCGATGGCTGCCATGGTGCATGACACCTTCAACCCTCAGAGTACTTACCCCTTGTATTCGATGTCCTTGTATATACAGCAGGCAAGGGCGATGGCCGACATGGTGAATGACACCTTCAACCCTGAGAGTACTTACCCCTTGTATTCGATGTACTTGTATATACAGCAGGCAAGGGCGATGGCTGACATGGTGAATGACACCTTCAACCCTGAGAGTACTTACCCCTTGTATTCGATGTACTTGTATATACAGCAGGCAAGGGCGATGGCCGTCAAGGCGTAGTACCAACTGGATATGAACATCAGTGTAATGCATAGCGTGAGCCCCACCAACGACAGTGTCCAATGGTAAAAGCGGAACCGAGGTCGCCAGTTTGGTGTCCGTAACAGTGTCAACATTGCACAAGCCATGTTCACAAAGCCATAACACATGAGGAAGAACCTGACAGAAGCAAGCAGAGGTACAAGGGCTGTAATATTCACGTAGTGTACAAGATGTCGCAATGTTTTACATAATTACAAACCACCCCCTAGGATGTTTAAAACAAACATAATCTGGTGTTGTTGTGGTCGTTATGGTTATAAAGCCATCATCATCAATCCTGTAGGTCTTCTAATGCTTTTCACATTTGTAATATAGAAAGAGCATATATACACATTGGTCCCTTCCCCTCATTGTGTAACAGTGTACTCGGTACTTGCAGATTTTTTCAACACCTTTTTCTGAATGAAAACTTGCATACCCTGAAGGGAGGAAGAGCTGACTGTCCCAACTTGTAACACTTGGTCAATTATTCTGCTGAACTAGCCTCTTTAACAATGAATGACTTTCTAGGATTACTGTAACTATTATGTAGTTAGTGATGAAATATTGAAGGAGACTTGTGAAATTATCTCCTTTTCCTGTCACGAGATGAGAGAAACATATTTAACGAGACATGGCATATCCTGTTTATCATATACTTTTTGTGTAGGTGTCTACCAGAAAATTAAATGATTTCATTAAAAATGTAAACCTTGAAATGTGAATTCTCCCTACCTAACATACAGGGTCGGTTCACCACCCCTTGTGTTTGCTTCTTTAAAAAGTAGTTTCATGTTTGCAAAGTCTTACACAATCTTTAAAGTATCCAAAAATATTAAGAGTCACGAAAAATTCTTTATAATGCATTTAGATACGATTATATACAAAATCAACTTTAACAAAAAATATTTTTCAAAACTAGGAGACCGCTGTTGGAAGCGAAAAAATACACACTGGTTAAGTTACAAAAACCTTTGCGAAACGAACAGTCTCGATTTAGGAGTTAAATGAGAAATTAACAGTTTATAAGAAAACATTTTCGAGAGTATAACAAACGGCAAGAAGTGATATTAACTCCATAAATGACCATCTGTCATCATTTTGCCTTGTCAATGTGGAACTAACATAAAAGGACATCAACAGTTTGTGTACGGGCGAGTCACTTACGATAAAGGGAGACAATTTAATGGAAGGTAACTATTGTATGACAACAGTTCCATCAAAGTGTTATGTTAACTGCAGTGAAATATCAAGTGTTACGTTCACTGCGATGAAAATATCACTTTTCTCAACTTCAGAAAACTCAGTCTTTCACACTGAAGTACATAATAAATAGAACATCAGCCTTGTCTGTTTATGCAACACTCAATCTTCCCGAGACAAGTGAGTTAACTGACTATAAAAGTCCAGTTTCCACCCTTGCCGAACTAGGCTGGTATTATGGAGTTACATTTTGGCTGGACTAATGAGTCTATGCATAGTCCTATCAAAATTGCGCACCGAAATCGAAATCCGGTTCGTAAAGTGTCATGCAGATTTCGGTCGACTGCAGCATTTGCAAAACATGTGCACCGCTAACTCGTTGTCAACAGATATTTTCTAAATCTATTCATGTTTTTAAGCAAGGTGCTCACGTGATTTGATGCACTTCGCGATGTAAGACTTGTCTTATCACAATTTAGATCTTGATTATCGATCAGATCGTCTTGACTGGGCGCCACCGTTTTGTTTGAAGCAAATGCAAGTGATACGAGAGGTTGGATCTGATTGGTCAGTAGGAGAGGCATAGAAAGGACATAACACGCAATAGCCACTGGTGGCACTACGATCGAGCCCAGTAATTACAGCCTAGTTCGGCAAGGGTGGAAACTGGACTTTTAAAGTCAGTTAACTCTCTTGCCTTGGGAAGATGGCAACACTCATGAAAACAGCAATTTTCACTTGATGACATACATCTTAGTTGAGAGGAAAATACAAATCTCCACGTATTGTTACTGCTGCTATTACTACTACAGTTGATCTATAACTCACATAGTAATAATGGGAGCCACATAGTCCAGGCTGGCAATGAGGATACCGAACTCAGAGATCAGCATGGTGAGCAGGAGGGCTCGCACTGGCTCTCCACGTTTTGTGGTTTTACTAAATATGGACAGGAATGGGATAACGTTGTCGGTGGCAATGGCTTGAAGCAAGCGGGGAGCACCTGAAAATAGCAGGAAACATGGGTAACAATGGGGTTCATAGCATACTGCTTAGTATATCTCCATGTGATACTGCACGATATATCGCCATGTGATATTTAGGGGTTATAACATAGCAGTTTTCATATCATACCCCATCAACCCAAGGCCACCACATGATGTGGGCTATGATATGAAAACTGCCATATAATATACTTTTTGTCAATTTTAACAACATCAAATTGTATAATGTATCTATTTGTATCTATAATAAATCTATAAGGGATGTAGCTCCAATTTCTTATAACCCGGGTTGATATTGATCCCCCATTCAAAATATATTGATAAGTCGTATCAGCCTGGCAGAGGTGTAATAAGGGTCTGGTTATTACACCCCCTGTGATATGACTTTCTCTATCGACATGCAAAATGCCTCATATAGTAGATAGCTAGGTATAAAATAAAACATGATATATCTCCATGTGATATTGCATGATATATCCCCATGAAACTATATCTCCATGTGATATTCCACAATATATCTCCATGTGATATTGCATGATAGATTCTTTTTGGATAACACATGATATAACTCCATGTGATATTACACCAATATATCTCCATGTGATATTACACCAATATATCTCCATGTGACATTACACCAATATATCTCCATGTGATATTACACCAATATATCTCCATATGATATTGCAGGATAGATTTCTTTGGGATAATATATGATATATCTCCATGTGATATGACACCAATATATCTCCATGTGATATTACACCAATATATCTCCATGTGATATTACACCAATATATCTCCATGTAATATATTACACCAATATATCTCCACGTGATATTGCATGATAAATCTCTTTGGGATGTTGCTTGATAGTCTTAGTCCTAGCCCTAGAGAATAAATAAAAAAAATGAGTCTCAAGTCAAGAATGATCTGGCAAGTCAATACTGCCTCTACTCTGAATTTAAGCTTTGTTCTGGGCTTCATTTGGATTTTTAAATTTTGTTGTTGATATATATTCATAATAAGATAACTTTATTTTTTAGACTAAATATTTGACTACTTGATATATATCTCTATGGCATAATACATCTCCTTGAGATATTTAATTATATCTCAACTGGAACGTATCAAGTTGATTTCTTCAAGCAATCGTCAATCTCAACTTTGTCCATGGTCTACTACCGCAGTATAAGGTGTGTGTTACCTGTGAGAGTCTGCAGCCCCGCCCCGAGTGTGGACAGGAAGGCACCTATCATGATGACCCACTCATTCGGCCAGGCCAGTGTCCCGATCAGCAGACTCCCACCTATACTGACTCCATACCTGCAAACATCACCCACAACATAAGACAACACAGAAGCCACACAAAACTCAAGCATGAAGTGTCTCCTGTCCAGACGTTTAAACTTACCTATTTTCTTATCAAAACTTCATGCTACTCGGCCACACATACAGAAGTATAGAGAATTCTGACCAATATCTCACTTTAATAAGCAAATACATGGCTGAGTGTGTGAGAGAATTTGGTTTGACACCTGAGTGAGAAATATTCCAGGAATATTACATCCCACTGTAAATAATAAAAATTACTTGCACAAACCAGTGGTTGACTGCATAAGGAACATTGAACCCTATCAACGATGACAATCAAGCAGTCAGTAATCACCCGATCCTCATCACCTGGCTGTCACAGCAAGCATGGGACCTTTGTATTTGTATGGGGACATCGTTGCAAATCAAATGACACTTGGTTTGATGTATAGTTGAAACAATAAGAATAGCCAAGGTTGATTTTCATATTTAATTTTCCTCCCTCACTTACTTGTCTCTAAGTAGATGACCTTCAATACAAGCCGCAAAGAACAGCACCGAGCTGATATCTGAACCAGTTGAGGATTGATATTCACGCAAAGGATTTGAAAATATTCACTGTTCATTCTTTAAAGTTTGCAGGTATGGTATATTTGTTTTCAATCAGGTAAAGATTGATTTTCAGGACAGTTTTTATGATATACATGAAATTTAAGAAACAACAATTGGATTAACTAAAATCTGAAAGTTTTTGTCACATGATTCACATCTAGAATATTATGAAATACTGTTTCATGGTCAGACATTCTCATATCAAGGACATTCAAGGACAATCACGATTCAGCAAAAGAATTTGACCAAAACCTCGGGACATGATGGTTAGCTAAAATAGAGACCATATATCGGTATATGGTCACTGGTTAAAAATAACAAAAATCATGTATCACAAACACAGCCATTTCACAGTGTAACACAACTATTGGGCAAAAAAAAAACATATACATTTTCACCAACATGGTTTTATTCCCCGTAAAAACATTAATAATTTAAAATACTAAATCTAATTGTACCTATTGGTGCCAAACTACTTGTCGCATGTCCCAATTGGTCGCCTAATGTAGTCTATGGTCAAACCTTCCTGAATTGGTTCCGTATGGAGGTATATTGTATCAACTTGATAGCTTGTCTTAACTCCATATTGGTGCAGACTTCAAGCAAGATTCAACCAAGTCTGCCCTGCCCTCATACTACCAAAATATATCTCTCCTCCCATGAAATATTTTTATGTGAAGAAATCCAAAAAGCAGTTATCTCTCTGAAGGATACACACGACGGAAGTGGTTAAAATAGCAGCTATGGTTCCTGCTGGAATAGATTTCTGTGCATCTGCAAGGTCGCCCGACCTGTTGGAACCGGCCATGATGCCTGAAAAATATGCAGGGTCAAGGGTGAGCTGTGAGCACCACTAATGATGATAGATGAGAGCTTCAAAGGACATGTGGTCGTGTTGACGATTGATTTTGTTGCTTCATTACCTTTCAAAGATTTTTCACAAGAAATACATTTAAATTGAAAATACATATCGATTTTAGAGGGGGTGTTTTTAAGAACACTGAAATGGTAGTGATTGCTTTGAAGTTAAAGGGAAGAACAAGTTATAAGTGTTAAAAGAATTCCTTGTCCTGTTGTAGGGCCAGCATGTACAGGGAAGTTATACAGTCACACAGGACAGACACCAAAAGCTCGGTAAACCATAACACATTACTTTAAGATAGCTATCATTGTTACTCTTCTCAAAGATCTTTTTATAACAAGATATTGACTGTAACAGTGTGGATACCGACTGAAAGAGTGTAGAGACTGACTGTAACTGTGTGGATACCGACTGTAACAGTGTGGATACCGACTGTAACAGTGTGGATACCGACTGTGTGGATACCGAATGTAACAGTGTGGAAACTGACCTGTAACAGTGTGGATATCTACTGCAACAGTGTGGATACCTACAGCAACAGTATTGATACCTACTGTAACAGTGTGGATACCTACTGCAACAGTGTTGATACCGACTGTAACAGTGTGGATACCGACTGTAACAGTGTGGTTACCAACTGTAACAGTGTGGATACCGACTGTAACAGTGTGGATACCAACTAACAGTGTGGATACTGACCTGTAGCAGTGTGGATACCGACTGTAACTGTGTGGATACCAACTGTAACAGTGTAGATGCTGACTCTTACAGTGTGGATACCTACTGTAACAGTGTGGATACCTACTGCAACAGTGTGGATACCGACTGTTACAGTGTGGATACCGACTCTAACAGTGTGGATACCGACTGTAACAGTGTGGTTACTGACCTGTAACAGTGTGGATACCGACTGTAACAGTGTGGATACCGACTGTAACAGTGTAGATGCTGACTGTAACAGTGTGGATGCCGACTGTAACAGTGTAGATGCTGGCTGTAACAGTGAGGATACCTACTGTAACAGTGTGGATACCGACTGTAACAGTGTGGATGCCAACTGTAACAGTGTGGATACCAACTGTAACAGTGTGGCTACCGACTGTAACAGTGTGGATACTGACTGTCACAGTGTGGATACCGACTGTAACAGTGTGGATACTGACCTGTATTAGTGTGGATACCTACTGTTACAGTGTGGATACCTACTGTGACAGTGTGGATACCTACTGTTACAGTTTGGATACCGACTGTAACAGTGTGGATACCGACTGTAACAGTGTGGCTACCTACTGTAACAGTGTGGATACTGACTGTAACAGTGTGGATACCGACTGTAACAGTGTGGCTACTGACTGTAACAGTGTGGCTACCGACTGTAACAGTGTGGATTCCAACTGTAACAGTGTGGATACCTACTGTAACTGGATGGCTACCGACTAACAGTGTGGCTACCGACTGTAACAGTGTGGATACCGACTGTAACAGTGTGGATACTGACTGTAACAGTGTAGATGCTGACTGTAACAGTGTGGATACTGACTGTAACAGTGTGGATACCTACTGTAACAGTGTGAATACCGACTGTAACAGTGTAGATGCCGACTGTAACAGTGTGGATACCAACTGTAACAGTGTGGCTACTGATCTGTATTAGTGTGGATACCTACTGTTACAGTGTGGATACCTACTGTTACAGTGTAGATACCGACTGTAACAGTGCGGATACCTACTGTAACTGTGTGGATACCGACTGTAACAGTGTCGATACCAACTGTAACAGTGTGGCTACTGACCTGTATTAGTGTGGATACCTACTGTTACAGTGTGGATACCGACTGTAACAGTGTGGCTACCTACTGTAACAGTGTGGATACCAACTGTAACAGTGTGGCTACAGACTGTAACAGTGAGGCTACCCACTGTAACACTGTGGATACCGACTGTAACAGTGTGGATGCTGACCTGTAACAGTGTGGATACCTACTGTTACAGTGTGGATACCGACTGCAACAGTGTGGATACCGACTGTAACAGTGTGGATACCGACTGTTACAGTGTGGATACCAACTGTTACAGTGTGGAAACCAACTGCAACAGTGTGGATACCGACTGTAACAGTGTGGATACTGACCTGTAACAGTGTGGATACCAACTGTTACAGTGTGGATACCGACTGCAACAGAGTGGATACCGACTGTAACAGTGTGGATACTGACCTGTAACAGTGTGGATACCGACTGTTACAGTGTGGATACCGACTGTAACAGTGTGGATACCGACTGTAACAGTGTGGATACCGACTGTAACAGTGTGGATACCGACTGTAACAGTGTGGATACCGACTGTGTGGATACCGACTGTAACAGTGTGGATACTGACCTGTAACAGTGTGGATACCGACTGTAACAGTGTGGATACCGACTGTAACAGTGTGGATAACGACTGTAACAGTGTGGATACCTACTGTTACAGTGTGGATACCGACTGTAACAGTGTGGATACCGAATGTAACAGTGTGGATACCGACTGTAACAGTGTGGATACCTACTGTAACAGTGTGGATACCGACTGTGTGGATACCGACTGTAACAGTGTGGATACCGACTGTAACAGTGTGGATACCTACTGTAACAGTGTGGATACCTACTGTTACAGTGTGGATACCTACTGTAACAGTGTGGATACCTACTGTTACAGTGTGGATACTGACTGTTACAGTGTGGATACTGACCTGTAACAGTGTGGATACCGACTGTAACAGTGTGGATACCGACTGTAACAGTGTGGATACTGACCTGTAACAGTGTGGATACCTACTGTTACAGTGTGGATACTGACTGTAACAGTGTGGATACTGACCTGTAACTGAGGGGAAGTAGATAGCCAGGAGGATCATGAATGATGTTGTTATCTCAGCCAAGATCTCACCCCGAGCCTCATCCCCCTTCTCGTCTGTGCCGATGATGTTTTCTGCCTCTGTGTAGCGGTTGTAAACGTTCTCTGTAACACAAAGTCAATATGAGGATACAGGAGATTTCACTATCAGTCACTTGGTCTTGGGTACTCAGATAATTAAGTCACTTCTGGACTTATGTATCTTTCTGCCCAAAGGCAATCTTATTTCTACTTATCACAATAAAATTACCGACAACTTTGGTGATAAATTACAATGTGCAATGTTGAGTTCACATTTGAATCTTGAGCTTATTGGTGCAGTTCAATTTATCAGTGCATTCATAAACTGTATTACATGTTGTTCAATAGAATCCCTACTTATATAACCTTGTTGGTTTTGTAAACACACTTTACACAGTCTAAACAAATCTTGAGAGCATCTATTTTAAGAAACTTGGAATTTTCTTCTGCTCCCACTGTTGTGAATACCAGATGCAAACTCTTGTATTACCATATTTTCTAGTGTAAATAATGTGCACTTGAGTGCAATGTGCATCCCCAATTCTTGGGTAGAATATAGAAGGAAATTGTATTTTGTATATAAAGTGCAGTCAAAAGCTACATCATATCGCTGCAGGTGAATGAATCAATAAAAATGTCAGTTTTGTGATAAAAGATTAATTACATAAGCCCGGAATTAGCAATCAGCTGTACACACACAGCTCTACAGAAATACAATGAACACTGGTGCTCTTCCATACATTTGCTATTCCCAATGTCTATGCTTTCTGGGGGACTCATTGTCTGTGTGTATAATGAGCACTCCCTCTATACAGTTATATTTTGGGGTAAAGTGTGCATGCTACACAAGAGAAAATATGGTTTTGCATGCCACAGGAATACTACCTCCAAACACTGGGATCAAGTATGAAAAGGGAACTTCACCTTGCAGACATTAAAATGAATGTGGTGCCTGATGCTGCCGGAGGCCAAAAACAGACACAGTACATTTCTTGCATCTTGCCGCCTTACCATAATCATTATTACTTTGTCAACCTCAAGTTGCAATTTCATCTGATGAGTTTATTTTCTGGTGCAGACAAACCATAGAATAAGGCAAGTAAGACTACAAAAATAACTGACACAACTATAGTCCTGACCCCAACACAGCCAAAGTTGCATCCACAAAAACTAAAATGTTTCAATAAAAATAAATTTACCAATAAATTTCCCACTTGCAAGGCCTGGAATACCCTTGAGCTTAAGAACTTCGTTTTTGTTGTAGTACTCGCATGCGTCGCCGGTGTTGTTGTTGACTCCGCAGTAGTGTTGGTAGATGGAGCTGGAAGTGTTTTTCTCACAGAAGAAGGTTCCGTTCATCATGACGGACTCACTCGTCAGCAGTCGATCTCCGAGAACACAAATCCTGTTGGCAGAAGGATGCTGTCAATGATGATGTACACAATTTGTCACACTCAATTTGTGAGTGAGTGAGTGAGTGAGTGAGTGAGTGAGTGAGTGAGTGAGTGCGTTGGGTTTAATGTCCCTCTTAACTGTACTACAGTAATAACATGGTGCGTCAGCTCAAGGCGGGACGGAAGCCTAAGTGTTGTAGGTCTTAGACTTTTACCAGTATAGTGAAACCCATGGTGCTGACAAATCTGTGGACACATAAGGAAGACAAGTCTGGGACTGGAACCCATGATAACATGTTTCTGGCATGTCTGAGGATCGCAATGCTGCACAGTGAATTGTGGCGCCCTGTGTTTGTCGACACCTATGGACCTGCACCCAGTCTGCACACACACTGAAGTCAGTTCCGGACATGCCAGCCCCAGGAGACACTCAAAACATGTCTCTTACATCCGGCCATTCACATGAACAATAATATTGGGTCTTTTGGGATTAGAATTTGTTTCTTTACAGCTACTATTTGTTTTATACATCAAAAATGGTTGCAGCCAAAGTTTCTGTCACATGAACAGAAACATGAAATTAATGGGAACGTAGAAATGGTGTCTTTATTGCCCTATTTGTTGCATTTATCAAGCATTGTGGTATCTAATATTTTGTACCATGAACAGAAGTATCAGCTGCTGATGGATCAGAATTGGTGTCTTAATTGTTGCTAATGTTGTACGTATCTGACACTGTTGTACCTAAACTGTGTTAATGACAAGAAGAGAGATGTATTAGCTAGAAGATAAGAAATAGCATTGTTATTACTGCTATTTGTTACCTTTTTTCTTTCAAAAATGGATGAAAGGTGGAATAATCACAAATAGTCACTCTGCATGTCCTAATATATCATCCCCGGTGTTTCACAAACTGCATAAAGGTAACAGATTGTCTGGTGGCGCTGATGATTGACTCTGAAATGATTGGCTCCACCAAACATGGCATGACCTCCTCCTGACTCAGGGCAGATGACCGACCCATATGTCTCTGTATGTGCCAGTTGGACAGTTCTTTTCATAGGCTTTGTTAACCTGTACTGTATATTCTTGATTAGATGTCTGGCGTGAGTAAATGCATGGTCTGACAGGCTTGTGAAAACAATAAATGACTGCCTTGCATAAACATGTAAATCAATGTGCAGCTCATACAAAGATGGGGGGCCCCATGGGGTTTCTGAGCAGCCTATGCTTGTGGTAAGAGGCGATAAAATGGAACGTGTGTTCAGGTTCTGTGACTTTGTTGATGAATGTCATTGTACCCCAACAGCATAGATTGTTGCTCACAAAATCAATCACTGGATTGTCAGGCCCTGATTTGATTATTTACAGGCTGCCGTCATACAGCTTGAACAGTGTCGAGTGTGGTGTTAAACAAACATACAAACAAGGATATGGTATAAAATCTGTGTGTTGTATTGAGTAAAAGATCGATTCTGACTGTTGTCACTATGTGTTCAGTTTGAGAAATTTTACCCAAAATAATTGCCTGCCTTAAAAGACAGCATAATTGTTGCATGTGAGGTGTTATTGAAAGTTTTGATAACTGTCTAGGCATTTAATCAAGGATTTATGGTGCACTCAGAGCCCGAAATACCCGCCTAATGTCACAGTGGATACTGAATTAGTGTCTGGACTCCACACCATTGAGACAATGCAATCTCCAGACTTCCCTCTGATGGAAGTATTTACCATGCATCAGTGATACAGACAGAGGGTCTTTCCCTACCAGATAACTCATAGGTCATCTAACCTCAGCTGTGAGCAAAGGAATGTCACAGTCAGCAATGTTACAGACGTAGCGCTCCAACTTGAAGTAATCAAGTTGGAAAATACAAAACAAGAGGTTGATAGCATGAACAATAACCAATGCCATCAGGTAACGATTGCACTGTCAACCAAGTCACACAATGAATGAGTTGTGACACTGTCAATCAAGTCACACAATGAATGAGTGATGGCACTGTCAACCAAGTCACACAATGAATGAGTGATGACACTGTCAACCAAGTCACACAATGAATGAGTTGTGACACTGTCAATCAAGTCACACAATGAATGAGTGATGGCACTGTCAACCAAGTCACACAATGAATGAGTAAAGGCACTGTCAATCAAGTCACACAATGAATGAGTGATGACACTGTCAACCAAGTCACACAATGAATGAGTGATGACACTGTCAACCAAGTCACACAATGAATGAGTGATGACACTGTCAACCAAGTCACACAATGAATGAGTGATGACACTGTCAACCAAGTCACACAATGACTGAGTGATGACACTGTCAACCAAGCCACACAATGAATGAGTGATGACACTGTCAACCAAGTCACACAATGAATGAGTTGTGACACTGTCAACCAAGTCACACAATGAATTAGTAAAGGCACTGTCAATCAAGTCACACAATGAATGAGTGATGGCACTGTCAACCAAGCCACACAATGAATGAGTGATGGCACTGTCAACCAAGTCACACAATGAATGAGTTGTGACACTGTCAACCAAGCCACACAATGAATGAGTGATGGCACTGTCAACCAAGTCACACAATGAATGAGTTGTGACACTGTCAACCAAGTCACACAATGAATGAGTTGTGACACTGTCAATCAAGTCACACAATGAATGAGTGATGGCACTGTCAACCAAGTCACACAATGAATGAGTAAAGGCACTGTCAATCAAGTCACACAATGAATGAGTGATGACACTGTCAACCAAGTCACACAATGAATGAGTTGTGACACTGTCAATCAAGTCACACAATGAATGAGTGATGGCACTGTCAACCAAGTCACACAATGAATGAGTAAAGGCGCTGTCAACCAAGTCACACAATGAATTAGTAAAGGCACTGTCAACCAAGTCACACAATGAATGAGTTGTGACACTGTCAACCAAGTCACACAATGAATTAGTAAAGGCACTGTCAATCAAGTCACACAATGAATGAGTGATGGCACTGTCAACCAAGCCACACAATGAATGAGTGATGGCACTGTCAACCAAGTCACACAATGAATGAGTTGTGACACTGTCAACCAAGTCACACAATGAATGAGTGATGACACTGTCAACCAAGTCACACAATGAATGAGTGATTGCGCTGTCAACCAAGTCACACAATGAATGAGTGATGACACTGTCAACCAAGTCACACAATGAATGAGTGATGACACTGTCAACCAAGTCACACAATGAATGAGTGATGACACTGTCAACCAAGTCACACAATGAATGAGTGATGACACTGTCAACCAAGTCACACAATGACTGAGTGATGACACTGTCAACCAAGCCACACAATGAATGAGTGATGACACTGTCAACCAAGTCACTCAATGAATGAGTGATGACACTGTCAACCAAGTCACACAATGAATGAGTGATGACACTGTCAACCAAGTCACACAATCAATGAGTGATGACACTGTCAACCAAGTCACACAATGACTGAGTGATGACACTGTCAACCAAGCCACACAATGAATGAGTGATGACACTGTCAACCAATTCACACGATGAATGAGTGAATGTTATTTTTAGCAATATTCAAGCTATTTTATGGGCAGACAAACCAGTCATTGTTAGCATGCGGTATGATCTGTGCCATCAGGGCTAGGGCTGGGACGGGTAACTCGAGTATTCAGGTCTGGTGGGTCCTGAGTAGGCCCCGGGTACCCATATGACTACCTGGACCCGTGGTTAGTCACGTAACATACTGTTTAATGACATTAACAATAAAACGCAATGGTTACACTACAAGTATAGCTAATATTCGTATTTCTTTCTCACTATGCAGGCATTCGTTCTGAATTTTATATGTTTGAGTAAGGATAAAGCATCTGTCAACTGCATGATCAGATTGTTTTATATGTGTATCTAAATAGTTTTTGCCAGGGCTGGGGTAAAACAATTCCCATTCGGACATTTTGTACCCAACGCGTGAGACCTATAGCGGGTATCGTGGTAGGGCTGGGTAATAGGGTGTCGGGTACCCGGGTGGTCAATGTGGACTCGTCCCAGCCCTAATCAGGGCACCATGGCACACAATCAGCCAGGACCCAGGATCTTCAGAAGCTGGTTCAAACAACAAGCATGCGGTACCGCAGAATACCCATGGGATCACACATCCCAGCCATCGAATCTCAACTTTGGATTCTCCAGAAACAAGCATGGAATACTCAGTGCATATTTCAGGTGTCAGGAAATAGATCTACGATGGAAATAGCGTTTTATTGGTCATTGGTGCTATATTCAACATCATCAGAGTGTTACAGTCAGATCATGGTGGATCACCAAACGTGATCTGTACCATTTTCTATTCAGAGTCCAAAAGTTGTAGCCACACTCAGCAATATCACCCCCTCTACCCACACCATGGACTACAATTGCTCACTTGATCTCAGCGCACATAGCACAAGCAGTTACACAGGAGACATTATGAAATTAATGTGATATCAAAACCAATGAAATTATATTTCATTTTCATTGTTGATCTACAATTTTGGGGAAAATATCTTGAGAAGTGATGCAAGCATTCAGCACTGAGAAAAAGGCAACCTTAATCCTGTAAGATGTTATTATCAAGTAAATGAATAAAGCAAGTCGCAAGACAGTTTGTACTTACTCCACGCTGCTGTCAGGGTTGGAGGCGAAGATGCCGACGTAGATGGAGACAATAGATATGATGACACACGCCAGTGACAGGGCAGCAAACTTGCTGACGAACTTGACGCCAATGAACACTACAAATGCTAAGAGCAGCATGACTGCTGTTCCATATAATCTGTAACTGTGGAATACATTCCCGAAAATGTCCATCTGTGGGGCCATATAAGTCTGAAAGTGAAGTTTATTGTGCCTTAATATTAATGATGGTTTCAGTTAAACAAGATTATAATTATATATAATACAAAAGATATAGTCATGAGGCTCTGTAGGTAACTGGAATATTCAGATTATTGACTATTTTCTGAATGATTTGAATGCCAGTGAACCCTTACTTGTTATAGTCCTTGAGACCATATAAAAGTATAACAATTTAACTGTTGTTCTGCTGGGCTCTCTTCCACTAGCAATCTTAGCGCTACGATGACTGCAGCCTATGTTAAAGTATAGGAGTTACAATCACCGAAGCGCTTAGAATATTTAGTGGAATGGGCCCCAGGTAAAGACTCTGCCAGGACCAAACATTTGATTATCTTAAGTGATACAGCAAGCATTGATGTAATAGAGAGAGACCATCTTTAATAAGTAGTCCTTTTAGTTGGCTTTCAAAACATAGATACAAAATATCCTCATAAGCTGCATAACCTCCAAAACCATGATAGAGTTACTTCCTTAAGGTGAGGTGAAATGGGGTTTAACGTCGCGTCCAAGATTATTGCACTTATATAGCGACGTGCATGTACGTGTGTGTGTTTTGGTGGCTGCTTGTACTAGTCCGGACTAATGCCGATTTATAGTGCTAGCTCACTGAGATACCATGCCGCAGTTTAACATGAATACCCCACTCAGACACAGTATACTGACTCCGAGCCGACCAGTCCTTGTTTTAGCCCCTTAATGCCGAGCGCCAGACAGGGTAACAACAAGTACCATCTTTTAACGTCTTATGGTATGACGCGGCCGGGGATCGAACCCCGGACCTTCCGCTCTCCGGGCGGACACTCTACCACTAGACCACGGAGGCGGTTACATCCTTAAAGGGCAAGTTCACACGGAAATTAACCTATTTTTCTTGTACTTTTTCCACATTAAAAGTGTTAACATAGAAGTGTCATAGACAAAAATATATAAACATCATATTTAATTAACATATTTTTTGCATTAAAACGATTTATATTTTTCACATTTACCAAGTGTTCTATTTCCACAACAAAAACACCATGGCTTATGCCCCTTGCAATATGACGTCATTGGTGCCAATTGATAAACATTATGACGTCATCATGCTTTGTTAGAGCCGCTTCACGTGGTGTAGGTCTAGGTGTATGATTCTAGTGTCTCAGATGCCAGCCAGCATAGTGTTATGCTGAGTCACCACTGCGCCGGAGTGTGTCGTAGACCATGTTGTTTTACCGCAAACTGGTCCTTGATATCTTTTGTGTTGAGAATAGACAGGGACCCAGTTGAATTGGCACCAATTACGTCATAATCTAAGGGGGATAACTCAGGCCTGTTTAGCTCGAAAAACGAAGGCCTCATAACGGCATATCATTTTCACACTATTGTGAGCTTCCTACTTTCACTGTGAAAAAAATGAGTGTATATTTTCAAACACAGATACTAATTAATTCTAAAATTGCGTTTTGTTTAGAAAAAGAAAGAAAGTGATTTTTGCGTGTACACTTCCCCTTTAAGGAGAAGGATGCTTGAACAAATCCATGTCGAGAGAAAAGTGGGGCATTCTATCTGACAACATGTTTCATGAAGTTGATGGTGCTTACCACTAATATCTCCACAGCACCAATGATGTACATGGAAGAAGCTACAGCAGTTCCCAGGTAGAAGAGCACTCCCACAGCGCCACCGAACTCTGGTCCAAGGGCACGGGAAATCATGAAGTAAGATCCCCCGGCAGGGACGACGCCATTTGTGGCAATAGCACTCATTGAAATGGAGGTCAACAGTGTCTGAAAATGGTAACAGATATGGTTAGGCATATTAATACAGCAGGTTTATTATTGCACACCAAAAATGTTTGAATCCTGTTTTTGTCTCTATTAACTATTGAGACTTTCCACTGGTTGGGTATTGAGAAAAGCATTTAAATAGGCATGCATAGCAGTGCTCTGAAATGGTACCAGGGGAGATAACTCACATCTTCATTTCTCCAACATCAGTCTAGCAGACATGGAAGAGAAATAGTATGCAGTTTGATGATGCAATGAAGAAAAAACCATGTTGATTATGTGGCATATTACCATAAAAATCAGGTACTCGAGTCCAGGTCAGGTTTTGTGATACAAAGCCCTTCAATATAGGGCTAATATATAGTGGTAAAGGGCTCAAAACCCAAGGATTAGGGTGCTTTCTGAATGAAAACCAAGCTGGTGGCCAAGGGACACAACTCTGCTTAGCCTTATATCATTGGGCAATCTGAGGTCTCACAGCCATGGAGAAGGAGGGGCCTTTGTAGTGAGTGAGTTGTGTTTTATACTGCTGTCAACAGTATTGGACTTATATCACAGTTGCAGCTTAATGAGGCCGGAAAGCGGAAAGTGATGCATGTTTCAGAAGCTCACTTTGTGAAACCCACAAACATGGGGACGGTGCTTGACAAACCCAAATATCATAAGCAGGGAGAATCGTGGACAATTACCTACCATTATGACTTAACATTTGCTATAGCTTTGTCCAAATAGCTTATATCACTGATTACAGGGAGGTACAAATAGATGTCATAAAGAGTGAGTGAGTTGAGTTTAAAACAGCAACATTTCAGTCACGTCAACTTTATGTTTTGTTTGTTTGTTGTTTAACACCGCACTCAGCAATATTCCAGCTATATGACTGCGGTCTGTAAATAATCGAGTCTGGGCCAGACAATCCAGTGATTGACATCATGAGCATCGATCCACGCGATTGGGATACGATGACATGCATCAACCAAGTCAGCGAGTCTGACCACCCGATCTGTTAGTCGCCTCTTATGACAAGCATAGTTGCCTTTTACGGTCAGCATGGGTTGCTGAAGACCTATTCTACTCCGGATCTTCACGGGTCCAACTTTATCTGGGCGAAAGCGTGAAGTCATGCAGGTTTTTGATTTTAACAATGTGGTGAATGCCACAGGCACAGGTCGGTGCTGACAAACCTAGACACATAATCAAGGTGAATCTTGGCCCAAACCCATGATCACAGGTCTGTGGCCCGACTAAGGGATGCAACTCTTCCAGCAAATTGTAGTGCCCTGCATGACTCGCCACCTGTGCCCCCCAGTTGTGGTTAAGGGGTTCCATAGGTTCAATGCAAAGATGAAAGAATACATTACAAGCTACCACAGAAGGCTGAAAATACCTTGTCTCGGCTTTTCAGGAACCACCTGCATCAGGAAAATTCCAAGCTGGCCTGCATTTAATTGCTGTATTTTGACAACAAATAAAAAATCTGACAGCTGGCAGTTCACTCTTTTCACACAAAAAGGCAATCTGACTGCATCTTTTTTCCGAAAGTAATTACATTTACATCACTCTTCCAGATTTCCAGTCTAATGTGCAATTTCAAGCCATTCCATAACCATGAAACAAGCTTGAATGTTGGTGATCACGGGAATGCAGTCATCACTTATTTAATTTTGTCATCACGTCTGGTGGACATAGGTGGACTCACCGTCAGACAACTGATGAGGACGACGAAGAAGGACTCCATGGCGCCCGCCATTCCCACAATCCAGGTCATCCGCACAAACAACAGGATGCCGAAGATGTTTTGAATACATGGTAGATACACCCCGAGTACAGTTCCTAGGTTGGCTTTCTGAAACAAGATATTGTACCTGTATGAACAAGTTGTTTCTTTGCTACACTGCTGTTATTATCCCTAAACATCACCAGTCTGAAGAATTTAATAAATGTTAGAAAACAAATATAAACATGAATAAACACCATACCTTCTTCAAAAAGATTAATATAAAACAAAAAATGAAATGGTTCAAAAGTTAAAGATTACCAAATAGAATTATGAAAATAATGGCAGAAAAAATATTGTTATTATTTTTATTACAGGACATATATCTAAGAGGCATTATTTTAGTAGTGTGTTTAAGACTATCAAATATTACATCGTTTTTATATGAACCTCTCCACTCTCAAGGGAAGCGTGAGATGATATACAAGATGGACAGGAAGCAGATTTCACAATCTAAAAGCTGGGTAATGGTACAATCCTTGGATAGATGAACACACTTAGCAAAAATAATGTATCTGAAAGATTGTTTAAATTGATATTAACTTTATGTAGTACAAGTTACTACAACCCTTTGATGAATGAACACACAACAGAAACAGCAAATTTGGGAGTTATGTACATGAATGATTGATAATAAAATACTGAGATTAATAGATAAGCAACTTATGCCATATATAGCACATTGGTAATCTATGTGTAGCGAGTGGGTAAGCAGCTGTCATGTCCTTTCATACTAAATTATAATATCCTTTAAAACATAATTCTGGGGATTATCCAGATAGGCTAAGAGGCTGAGATTCATCCCACATCTGCAGAAAATGTCAGTAGAAATTCCCTGAAAGAATTTCCCAATTCATGTTAAAATAGTTGGAACTAATGTTATGTCTTTATAGAGGTGACTTGAGTACCACTGATTACAGGACCAATACAGAGGAAGAGGTTTTGATGCGTAGACTTACTGGACACAATGTTAAAATACAATGCTAAAATATCTCTGAAGTTCTGAACTTAATATAAGAACCTTAAATCAATGTAAACAAAATGAGGAGTTCTCCCCTCAATTTGCCTGCCAAGGGCACTTGATTTATAATCCTACATATATCCCTGTCATTATCTGGTTATATTACTTAATATTGAATTATCTGGTGCTATTATTTAATACTTGGTTATCTGGTGCTATTATTGAATACTTATTTAGCTAACTGGAAATTGGAAAATGTTTGCTAAAGTATGACTCTGCTATAGGCTTATTCCCCTCTGCCTCTCCCAAAGTGGATACTGCTTTCTTGACAACTGTGTTTATCATTTAACAAATATATACACATCTTCATCAATTTTCAAATAGCTCAAAAGGCATTTAAGTTTTATGTCAATAGACATCCAAACATTAAACATTTCATGAAGAATCTGACAGAGAAAGCTGAACAAATAAGGTGCTTCAACATGTCAAGTTTCTGCCAAATTCAATTTTCAGGAGAAAAACATATCATCTATTTCTGGCGCCACTATGCAGTGCTGAAGCTGGCTGCTTCCACAAATGGTAAAAATTTTGGTACCTAGAACATATCTTAAGGTCAGTTGGCTTAAAAGATTTTTTTGGTACTTTCTTCGCAGGCCTGCTTACTGCTATTAGTGCTACTGAATCTTCAATGGTTTCAAAGACAGAAAAACATGTCTTTGAAATGTGATTGCACATGGTGGTGAGGAGGATGCAGATGTTTCCACGGAAACAGTAAACGGGCTCATGCTGCCTGGGTTCTTGGTAACGTACACGGAAAACACAGTCTTCAGTCTTCGATTTAGTCTTAAAATTTGGCTCGCACAGTACCAAGAATGCTTTATAACATCAAAGATTTGTTTGAGGTTTGAGCCATGATATACATTTGACAAAAAAGTTTAAGTTTAAGAAGATTGTCATTGAAATTGTTGGTGTCTGCATTTAAATGGTCAGGACCATTTAGGTGACCAAGTTATTTATATTACATTTGTCTTCAAACTGTCTGGAGATGAGATGGTCCACACTAATCTCAAGCAGGTTTTTCACCAGTGTCATGCCTGGTCTAAAACATACATCTAAACCACTAAAAGTAGTGTCGAGGAGTGTCAGAAGGTTTGAACACCTCCCTTTGGAAAACTACATAACAACATTATGGACCCAAATGACAAAAAAAACAAAAAAACTATTTATTGAAATGCTTGTGTTCTGGTACATTGAATGACAAGGGAATCTTCACTCTATCATCTTTCACCCAAATATTCAAAATGTGACACCACTTTTCTACAAAATCCTGAAACTGACAGTTAAAAATCATGTGCACCCTCCCCCCCCCCCCGTGAGACATTCAAGAAGTGGACACCGCGTTCCCCGTTAAAATCTCAAGGGGCCACCTCTGGTTTGCTGCTTTCTATTTAACTCTGAAGGACTAAATAAATTGCTGCCAGTCAGTTTTCCTATTTCCATCCAATTAGCAAGAAAGACAGCAATATATATTTGTTATTTCAGAAAACCATGACAGCAACAATGTTCGGATAGTCGGAAATGTGACACTGTATCCCAACATGGAGCACACTATAACTGCCCCCAAATGAAAAATAAATGTAATGATTTTGAAACATTAAAAATGTGTTAATCAGATGTTTAAATCTACTATATGTTTTAGCAACTATAACACACAAATCAAAACAATCTTACAGTTAGTTAAACGTTCAACTAACACACAACTTGCAAACTGTTCTATACCCTATGCAGCAGAACAGACCAGCTAGGACCTGGAAGGACACAAACTATCAACACTATATTAATTATTTCAACAAACTTCCATCTGGATCTAGAGGAAAAGAGAAGGATTAAGTTATTTATAACTGATATAATAGCCAATTTGCAAACAGTATAAAATGTTAGCGATGCTACAAACATGATACATCTGTGTTACGATTTCTAGTCTACTCATTTAGATTATTAGCCCTAATTTGAATGCATAACATTGAGTGAGTGAGGGAAAGAGGTTCTCGTGCCACATTTTTTTGTGCATAATGTACCTCCATTCTTCGGGAAAAATTGCTGTTTCGGGTGTTATGTGCACTCAGAACCTACATCGTATCGCTACAGGTGAACGGACTGAAGATAGCAAAACTTGGCCAATTATCATTACCATCATGATGATTATCATGATGATTTACAAGTTCAAGTGTAGTGTTGTTACACAGGCATTTCTTTATGCAGAGATCAAGATAACCATGTGTTGCTTAAACTGACTAGAATCACCATAACAAATTCTAATAGGGAAATTTAAGTAAGTTTATCTTTCAAACCTAAGGGTAATATTGAAATTTTCCCGGACTCATAAATATGTCTTATTATACACCCAATTGTTTATTGAGTAGTGAGTTTAGTTTAACACTGCTATTAACAGTATTTCAGATATACCACAGCGAGCCAGCTTACTGTGGGAGGAAGCCTGAAGTGATGCACATCTCAGACGTTTACCACTTCGGTGGAACCCACGAGCATGGACATGCTGACAAACCTAGAAACATTATCAGGGCGAACTGGGATTCGAACCAATGTTCACAGCTTTCTAACGTGCCCAAGGGATGCAACACTGCACAGCGAATCAAGGCACCTCAGACAACTGGGCCCCCGTGCCCCCGACTGACTTGGAACTTAAATTCAAAGATTATCTTATGAAGACAGTTGTGACCTTTCTGGATAAAAAATGATTTCTGTTGGGAAATCTACATTGATAAAATATATGACCTTGGCAAATTATCACACGTCTAAAATAATCCGTCTTGGCTGTTGAAGGCGGCCAAATATTGGTACAGCTAAAGTGCTTGTGGAAGCCACTGATGTCTACACTTGATCCCTGCCAGAAGTCACTTTGTCACTCACCAGATGAAAGAGAACTCGCATGACACAGGCTAGATCAGACAAGGTTTTCGCAAAGTTTTCATAAGTTTCAAAGTTTGAAAAAAAGTTTCTGTTCTTCAGGGATAAAAATAAACCAGTGATTGTCTGGCTTCATTTATTGTTAGTTTCTTCTTCAGATGACTGCAGATGTATTGAAAAAATCATTAGATTCAAATGCGATTTCCCTCTCTCAAGACTGTATAGGCTTAGCCACCATGACGGCCCCATGAAAGGATGAGACTCTTCAATCATGATCGCAGTAAATAAGTTTCTAAAATGTTTTAAATTGGACTGAACAAGATTTTTGCATTGATTTATCTCTGTGCAGAGAAAATTGAAAAACTGCAATCCGACAAAACAAATATCAAGAACATGACAATGTCTTGATGAAACAATTTGTTCCAGAAATCGGCAATTTTCCTCTTAAACATTTCTATTCCAAAAGAAACATTTACAGTTTCTTATTTCATTCTCACTGTAAACACTAGGGACTGATCTTAAAAGGACTGAAAAAAGTTTCCCATGGTAGGAAACAAATCGGACATAGTAAAACTCAATATAATTCCAAACATTAATAATAAGGTCCAAAATTCTGTTTTATATAACATGAAGCACTGTGAAACCATCAGACAGAAGCACGTTGGGAGCACTTAAAGCTGCAAGGTCCACATTGAAAGCCTTAAATTAATTTTAGATTGTCTTTTGTTGGTTTAGGGACAGTCTGGTAGCCTAGTGGTTAAAGCGTTCGCTCGTCACGCCGAAGACTCGGGTTCAATTCCTGACATGGGTACAATACTACAATGTGTGAAGCCCATTTCTGGGCTGGTTATTCTCTGTCTTTGAGGTTTTACATATAACAGTGGTTTGGAGGAGAGCCCAGTGTGACACAGGTCTCAGTACCTTGGTAGCATGCATGTGGTGGTCCGGTGATGAACAAGGTGACATGACTAGGCTCACATATTCAAAAACAGACTTCCTTTTGAAGCATCAAGTAGTGTTGTACACTTTCATTTGTATTTTTATGTTGATTGTTGATTGTTGTATGTTTGTTTATTGTTTAATGCCAGATTCAGGGATATTCCTGCTATATGATGACAGCCAGTAAAAAAACAGGTCTGGATCAGACAATCCAGAGATCAGTATTGTGAGGAACGTTCCCCACCGTTAGAGTACGAGGACATGCTATCAACCAAATCACAGAGTCTGAGCACCTGATCCATTTGGTCACCTCTTACAGCCAGCATAGGTTGTTCCCTGGGGGCTGTTCTAACCCAGGACCCAACAGGGTGTGTTTTTATATGTCACTAATGTCATATCCTAACAGTGTTGCAACAATACTAGTGCATGTATTGCTATACCCTTAACAAATGTTGAGCAGTATAGTGTTCACAACGTTATTCTACATATACAACATATTCTTACAGCATGTTGACTGAGTGTATTTCTTTGTGAACTGGGAAAAAGGGCAAACATGATCTATCTATAAGTTAGAAATCAGCATAAATATGCAGCAACATTTTTTTTATCCCATGCAAAGTATGCATCACTGATGATAACAACTGGATGAAATTACTGAAAGAAATAGCAGATTAATATGACATAAACAACATTTACAAATCTAGTCTTCTATCAAAGATCTCCAAGTGGCACTATGTCTACAAGAGTGTTTGAAAGACACAGGGAAATCAAGGTCTTTCTAACAACGGCAGTGTTTTCCATATTTTCTAATGCCTTATGAATATATTATTGTTTTGAGTTCATTATTTCAGTAATAAAACCAACAATGCCATTGTTTGAGAAACCTGTGTACAAATACAAATCCTGTTTCATGGGCCATGGCTATGAGAGTATGTCATCAACTGAGGCTGACAATACTCCTGTACTACATCACAAAAATAAAATAATTCTCAGTTTTCTTCAATTCTAAATAATTATTGCCACAATAAATATCCAATGACTGTAATTTAGGACCTTATCTACACAATCGGCTGATTATTTCAAAGAAAATATTACAGATACCATTTAATAAAATTTTGATGTCTGGCAATTATATTATTGAAGAATCTGCTTGTGAAACGTATCAAGAAATAATGTATTATTCAGTTAATACTTTGTGTTACTTCATTCATACTCAATAAGGAAATAGTGTGATGAAAAGAAACTTTAATTTCACAAAGGGCAACACTTTATTGTAATTCAGAATTAGTGATTTTAAAACCTTTCTTATCATTTATTTCCTAGGCAACAATAACCTAAAGCAATCTTGTACAAGTAGGCAGGAAGGAGGAATCAGTCTGTGATTCATGGGTTTAAACTAACACCAAGACAGCCAGCATCACACTATTGCAAACTGTTCAGATCAGAGTGAGGTCCTCCATGACAGTGACATTTGGATACAGTCTTATCAGCTGGTATTGAGTGAGTCAACAAGTGAGTAGAGCTGTAAAGTGCTTTTGACCCCTCTGGTCTGTAGATTGGGAAATGATAAAATGTTGGTGCTACATAGAAACACAAATCTTTGACATGGCTCCATGTTAGGCCGTCCTAACCAGACACACATACCATGACAACAGGATCTGTATCTGTCTCCTACACTATCACTACGGGTTACATCATTCTTAGTTCAAGCAAGGTAAGATGGGAAAGGCAAAACAAATAAATCTAACAAAATACTTACTTTTGTCTACAATATATCCAGACAGTAATAAAAGGGGAAAGAGAGAAAATGGAAAAAATAAATTAAATGGAACACAAACTGGATTGATAGAGAAATGAACAAATATTACAGAAATCCCAATGACCCAGATTTGCCCATAAGCTGAAGATAATTGAATACATAGGTGGATTTAAAATAAGAAGTTTATTAAACAATAAAAAAGTGTGTGTTCATTGAGGTGCTCTGACAGTAGGTAAAGTAAACAATACAATGAAAAAAAGATAAACACTTTAAAAATCTTTAAAAAATGTTGACAATACTATTGTCACCACAATAACTAGATATTTAGTCATGCACATTTTTTAAGAAGAAATTCTTGCACATGTCAAAATTTCTAAATATTTTTCATATCTTCTTCACTATTTATTTACAAAATACTGATAAGCACAATCATGTTACATCGTGTGTGGAGCTCTGAAATCATTAATGTCAATAGAAAGAAAACAATTTTGATTCATTTATTAAAACAGATAAATGACCTAAACACAGTCTATCATATTTCCATACCAATTACAAAACCCACAACACACATTGATAAAACCATCTGTAACAATGCACAAAATCCAAGTGAATTCAAGAACACTAGGTATCTGAGTAAAATGACACGCACAGTGAAGTACCTGTGAAGTGAACAACACAAAATCCTGTTTATATCACAGAAGACCAGGGTATATATTTACCTGTTGTCCCTTTCCCTTCTCCACGTCGTTAGGGTTGGGGGTAATACCTGCCTGGTAGTTGGCAATGCGGTTGATGATTTGTGAGATTTTACCCTGATGTTGCAAGTCATCCTGAAACAGAAGCAAAAATGTGTTTTACATGAACACTTTAAAACTTTTACAAACTGAATGGTCACGTGCTTCACGATACTGCTGGTGTCCACAAACATGTTAAATCATGTACACCTCAAGTGACAGATGTAAGGAATTTATCAGTATGAGTTCTCAAGCTACAAGAATTTTTGATTGGTGTGGTATCTTTGTGTGATAATTAGATCTATCTTGCACCCACAACACAATGTAAATCGTGTAAGCGTTCGCAGGGTCAGTTGTGATGATGATAATAACTATAACCTGGTCCATGGATCAGTGTACAATCGATTTTCGTTCTCAGCTCCCTGGGGAGTATACAACCCAAGCTGCCTGAGAAAAATGTTAACAGTCACATTACCATCTCATCCTAATGGGTACTAATCACTGCTGGGTGAACAGTGATATTTTGACCACAGTTACGTTCCCAAGACAACATTATACACCATGACATCAGCCGGTTAGTATAAATTTTTTGGAAGACCAATGCGATAGCTAGATTCTTTTCCGAGTAATTATTATCTTTGCTAGAAGTAGATGGGAATTATAACCAGACTTCACTCAAAAGCACTTGGAGATTCAAACCTTTGTTATACCCAAGATGAGCTAATTCCTGGACCACTGGGCCAAATGACCACCTCTCATTCCTGTAGAGTTAATATCAGGAGTTTAACCAGTACATCAAGCTAGACTGTGTCAAGGAGGGACAGGTTCAGTAACTCACCTCCCTGTACGAATGACAAGGTATCACAGGAAATCATTTTTAGCCCTCTAAAATTTAGTTGTTTTTTTTGGAAAACTTAGAAGGAAACCTTATGAAGAACTGAGAAAGCTTAAAATGATTTTTTAAATTTTGGGAGAAAAACTAACCATTTGCAAGTTTGTGAATATTTTTTTCACCATATTTTTTCACAGTATTGTCGTAAATAAATCATCTTATAAAAATAACAAATAAAAGAAAGACAGTTTTCAGTCATAGAACACTATAAAACAAATTCAAAACATCTTTCACTTTTTAAAAAACTCTCCATAGTGGGCCAACATAAACTGAATCCTATTTCCTGGTACTCCAATCATGGGATACACCTAGAACCTATCAGTCTGTGGTCCCACCAGGGTTGTGAGGAGTCACCAGCACAGCAGCCATAATGATTGATGACCAGGAACATGTAATCAAGCAGCCAACAGACAAACATTAAGACCCACTGATCTCCATTTAAGATACTGTTTACTTCAAACATAGGGAACTGGGGACCTGTTCCGCCCAGATGCTGATGGTGATGTATTCAATAAAAGCCAGAAACCCGATGAGTTCTGGATAAGACAATGCTCCTGTGCTGCTGGAGAAAGCATTAAACTGTTTTCAATAGCCTGGACACTGCTTGAAACTCATCAGTTACTATCAGTTGTTTCCTAAGTTAAAAAATGTTCACATAGAATGTACTTGAAAGCCAGGCCCCATTCCACAAAGTGATCTTAGTGCTTAGGTGACTGCTACTCCCAAATATTACCAAAGGCTTACAATAATTGTAGTGCTAAAACCCCTTTGTGGAACTGCTGACAACGGTGCACCATTGGCACCACAGATTAGCATGATAGATGTGACCATGGTGTACCATAGCCAAATATACCATGATATACCATGACAGGCAAATATACCATGGTGTACCATGGCCAAATATACCATGATATACCATGACAGGCAAATATACCATGGTGTACTATGGCCAAATATACCATGACCATTTACCACCCAATTTCGTGGTGCCAATTACCGCTGACATGGTCTACCATGGTCAATGACCATAGTTGGTCTCTACTATGTGGTCCTACAACTTCCATCTGTCAAAGACTAACATGAGTTTGTCGTTTAATACTGCACTTTTATGACAACCATAGGTTGCTGGGGACCAGATGTCTAACCCCGAATCCCCATGGGGTGAATAACATGCATCGCTTTATGTGCGAGTGCATGAGCCGTGAGTGAGTGAGGTTTTAGGCTGCTTGTAGCACTATTGCAGCAACAGCACACGGTTCTCAAAAGCTGGCCTCCATAATAATGCATTATGTTTAGAATCTAACCCAGACAGCATGGTGGGGATCCCTTTAAGACTTGTGCCCCCCCCCCCCCCCCCATCCCAACACACACACACACTGCACACCCTCAGTATTCAGTATACATCACATCACACAAATATAAACTATACAAAAAAAGATGTCTGTATAATTTCATTTAAACACAATTGATTCAGTTTCAATGTTGCAACATTTATGGCATACTTTCTGATTCAACCATACCTAGAGAGCTGGCATGACAAGTCACCTGGAGACCTTATATACATGAATGAGTTGGGAATAATGCCACTTTGAATAGTTCTCAAGTCATAATGTCATCTTAATGTTGGAGGAAAGCTAAGGTGATAAACTTGGTCTCAGACAACCACCCTATTGAAACCCACGACCACCTTATAATGGAGCTGACAAACCTAGAAACATAATTGGGGCAAACCCGGGTTCAAACCCATGATCATAGGTTTCTGGTGTTTCCAAGGGACACAACTCTGCACAGCAAATTGCAATGGCTTAGATGACTGGGCCACCGCGTCCCCAGAGCCAACATGACACGTCAAGGTTACAGCACAGCCTACTATTGCCACACTCCAACCAACCACTTATCACACTCCCAGTTACGTAAGAGGAGCCTGTTTGTTTGGCTGGAGATGCTGTGCAAGCATGCACTGTTCACACACAATCATGGTTGTAACCTATCACTATTGTACACAAGGTCATCTAGACAGGTTTTCAAATCTCTGTCTCCATGCTTCTTGAATCTACCCCCTTATACGCTGTTGTAGAAGATCAAGTTTGCGGTTTTTTAGGATTTGTGTGTTATTGAGAAATCACTGCATTGTAAATGCAACCCTATACAGCTTGAGGTTGGAAATATACTAAGTTTTCCAAGCATCAATTATTTATTACTACTATAAATCTGAAAATACACAATTGCATATTAATTATTAAGTTTTTCAGTATCATTTTTTTCTAAACGTACCCTCATAGTTGTGACACAGACAGAGTGAAGTTTAGAATGTCTAATATTAAGCAAATTATATTTTTAATTTAACTGCTATCCATGCCATCATGCCAAATATCAATTGTGTACCAAAATTTGATAAAATATAAGTCAAGAAAATTATTCATATACAGTGAAAGTATTAAGTCCCTAAGATTCCAGGGCCCCGTTCCTCAAAGCGATCTTAGCGCTAAGATGATCGTAAGCCTATGTTAAAGTATGGGACTTACGATCACCTTAGCGCTAAGATCGCTTTGAGGAACGGGGCCCAGGACATCAAATCCAGTGGAAACGACCGTAACCAACAAGATTAAAACATTTATATTACAGTTTGACATATAACTCTAACTTCCATCAGCTAACTGTGACTGATACCCACTGGAGGAAAATTAAACAAGGTCCAAGAAACAATCCCCTAAAAACTCAAATTCATACAAGCCTTCACACACTCAAACACACTCTAGCCAGTGCAACGCTAACATAATACCAACATGCAGATTTCCTTTATGTGTTAGTTCACTATTAAATAGTGATTATACCAACATGCAGATTTGTTTTATCTTTTAGTTCACTATGTAATAAGACCATAAGACCAACATGCAGATTTGCTTTATGTTTTAGCTCACTATGTGATAAGACCATCAGACCAACATGCAGGCTTGCTTTATGTTTTAGTTCACTATGTAATAAGACATCATATTGACATGCAGATTTGCTTTATGTTTAAGTTCACTATGTAATACGACATCATACTGACATGCAGATTTGCTTTGTTTTAGTTCACTTTGTAATAAGACATCAGACCAACATGCAGTTTTGCTTTATGTTTTAGTTCACTATGTAATAACACATCATACCAACATGCAGATTTGCTTTAAGTTTTAGTTCACTATTTAATAAGACATCATACTGACATGCAGATTTGCTTTATGTTTTAGTTCACTATGTAATGAGACCATAAATTTCATCAGTTTGTCTGTAATTCCTTAATCCTTCACACATAGCGCTTCCAGTTCTAACATTCAATATTCTCGTGTTACAGATTGAGCAGGACTTACAGGTGTTTCAATGTTGACATAGGTAGGCATACATAAGCTCAGTCAGGTTCGGTTAAAGCAGTCCTCTCTTATATCATTGCAGAGCCTGACTTTGTTGTAAAAACATCTTGGTTGTATATTTGGAGATATTCTACCCCCCACTAAGGGGCGGACTGCTGTTGAGTGCTGTCTCACCTGTCTGGGTGCTAGCTTGGAAGATGCGATTAGAAATTGTAGGCTTTTGCTTCCAAGGTTTAATGGGAGGTGTTCTCGGTACGCACAAGGTTAAAGAATATGTGCTTCCTTGACAGAACAGAATCTACCAAATGTTTTCTGTAAAATCCTGATACAAAGAAATGAAAGAACTAATATGAATTCTTCTACACTGTTAATGCTACACTGTTAAAAAGTGGTCAAGGTTTTAAGCACACTGAGACTACTTGATTCAAGAAGCACAAAAAACCCCAATAAACAAACTTCATGGGGATTAAAAAAGGTGACATGCATTGCGTGAAGGTTCCAGAATGCACTGCAGTGAACTGCATATGAATCTGATTATCTAAGCTTTGACACAATACACAGAAGTGAGTTCAACGCCTCCTTGAGTGGTTGTTCAGTTTCACTGGTTGTCCATGTATTGTGGGATGAAAGCCCAAAGTGGCAACCAGCAGATCTTTGCAACCAGCAGATCCTTGCAATCAGTGGATCTTTGCAATCAGCAGATCTTTGCAACCAGCAGATCCTTGCAATCAGTGGATCTTTGCAATCTGCAGATCCTTGCAATCAGTGGATCCTCCGAATCAGACACTGGATCCTTGCAACCAGCAGATCCTTGCAATCAGTGGATCTTTGCAATCAGCAGGTCCTTGCAA